TGGATTTTCTCTGAGCTTATTATTTGGAGTCCAATAAAGTTTTGGATGTATAGTTTTAACAAATTTGAAGTGGTTTTGATCACTATTTTTTGAAATATCCCTTCTGCACTTCCCTCTTTCCTTATTTGGAACTCCAGTTTTGCAAATGTTTGTATTCCTGGTGATGCACCATAGTCTCTCATTGCATAAACACAAACAACCCAGTGTGGGCTTCAGTGGTTATTCCTACTGCTCACTCACATCTACCATCGGAACGCCTCGGTGCTGCTTTTCGGTTGGTACTGCTTTTCAAGTTTTTTTTTTTTTTTTTGAGACAGGGTCTCCCTGTAGCCCCAGCTGGCCTGGAACTCACTATGTAGCCCCAGCTGGCCTGGAACTCACAGAGATCTGCCCGCCTCTGCCTCCCAAGCACCACACCCAGCTATGCTTTTCAACTACTTTCATGGCTCCTTTCTATAGTTCTCTTGATATTCGTTACTTGTTGGGACAGTTTTCCTGAATTGCTTTGGCTCTTTGAGAACATCTGAGATAGTTGGTTTTAAATTATTGTATAGTACTACACTTCAGATGGCCATGGGTTCTGGCTATTCCAAAATAGGATGACTGCAAATAATGATAATGTACAGTGTGGTGGCACCCGCCTGTAACCTAATATTTGGGAGGTGGAGGTTGGAGGATTAGGAGTTGAAGCTCATCCTTGGCTATAGTTAAGTTCGAACCAGCCTAGGCTACATGAAACCCTATATCAAAAATAAATAAATAAACAAGGGCCAGAAAGATGGCTCCATAAGTAAAGGCAGTAGTCAACCAACGATGAAGCCTGAAGACTAACATAGTCCTGACAGCCCACATGAAGGTGAGAGAGCAAACCAATTGCCCTTAGTGGTCCTCTGACCTCCATTTTTAACTGTGACACACATGCCACCCCCAACGTATACACACACACACACAAAATAGTAAATCAAGATAAATAAATTCAGAATAAGAATATTAGGGGAAGTTTTATAAGGGGAAAGAAATACAGTACTGTATATTTCAAATAAGCTAGAATTAGAATGTTTACACCATAAGTGACAAATACCTGATAGATACGTTTAGTCTTATTTAAACATTGCACAAGGGGTTAGAGAGATGGCTCAGTGGTTAAGAGCACTGACTGGTCTTGCAGAGGACCCAGGTTCAGTTCCCAGCATCCACACGGTGGCTAACAACTGTCCACAGCTCCAGTTCTGGGGGATCTGATGCTCTCTTCCGGCCTCCATGGGCATTGTACCACCTAGGTGCACTTATGTACAATGCAAGCAAAACATATATACATTAAATAAAACATTGCATGATGTAAACAGATGCCAAAAACATTAATAGTACTCCATAAATATGTACATGGTTTTTATGTTAATTTTTAAAAGCACCTTCAGAAAAAAATTGTTAAGTCTAGTGTCTATATTGTTTCTGCTATTTCTTCTGTGAATAGGCTATGCTTTTCTTTCATGTCAGGCTTTTCTTTCCTTTTTCCATCCTTCCTTTGCAAGTTTTGAATATCACACACTAACTCTGGATATCAGATTCTTCCTTCACGTTTTTGCTGCTTGTTATGGACCAGTTTAGTGACTATAAACATTTTTGTATTTTACCTATGTGGTGTCTAAGGTCCCTTCTTTTCACTTGTGTTCAGCTAAATGTACTCAAGGGGGCTGGCGAGATGGTACAGCGGTTAAGGGCATTTGCTACTCTTGCAGAGGATGCATTTGGTTCCCCAGCACCCATGTAGGGCAATTCACAAGCACCAGTAACCCCAGCTCCAGGGTATCTTTAGATACCTTCTGTTGGCCTTGGCTGGCATCCCCACATATACACATTTATGCATACACACACATACATATATGCAAAAAACAGTAAACTTTAATACACATCTTTAGTCCCAGTACTCAGGATGCAGAGGCAGGCAGATCTCTGTGAGATCGTGGTCAGTCTGGTAGACATAATGCGTTCCAGCTGGGGCTACAGGGAAACCCTGTCTATAAACAAAACAAAAAATCTGCTTTTAGCCAGGCAGGGTAGAAGGCCTGGCCTGGCGGGCAGGTAGATCAGCCTGGTCTACAGAGCAAGTTCCAGGCCAGTTGGGGCTACAGGAAGACCCTGTCTCAACAAAAACAGAAAAAACCTTTTGCCTTCACTTTCCTCTGCTTTGAGCTGTATAGATCAGCCAGAAGTGGACGCTTAGGGCCTTCCTCACCTTTTCTGTTATCACTCACTATGGGCATGTACATAACCTTCTAAATTCCCCAATACATGTAGGTGCTTTTTTTGTTAGAGATCCTCTTTTGAATTAATTTTAGTCTGAAATCCTCTCTACTCTTTCTCTCTTGAGACTCTTTATCTAAACTATAGGCAATGGGTTGTAGATTTGTGCTGTGTTTTATGAGAACTGCTCACCTCTTTACCACTTTGACTTAAAAGCAAGTGCCTTGCATGTTAGAACTTCTTTTGAGAATGAAGCCTTTCCACTCCTTAGGAGCAAAGAACCCAAGACCCCATGCTGCAACCTTTGTGTACACATGCATTTGTGCTACATAGATATGCATGGGTGTGCACGTAGAGGCTGACCATCAGGAATTTTCCTTCATTGCTCGCTCTTCTCCATTTTTTTTTAAGTCAGGGTCTCCCTGTAGCCCTGGGAGTTTGGCACCATTATGCCAATCTTCCACTTTATTTTTTGAGACAGGGTTGAGATCCAGGATCTGCCTGTTTCTACCTGCCCCCACTTTACCCAGCCCTGGGGTTACAGATGCCTGCTGCCAGGGCTTGCCTGAGTGCTGGGGATCCTAACTCAAGTTCTCATGCTAACACAGTGGAGACTTTTCCAACTGAGCCATCCTCTGTAGCTACAATCTTCAAAACTATATAAACTCCTCAAGATGGGAAGAGGATGGGAAAAAGCCAAGGAAACTACTGCTTGGGTTTGTAGCAATAAACCTTTGACTATTTCAGTTTGTACAAAATTCTAAGTGGTTTTGCTTGGTTTTCAATGTCTTCAACAAGTCCTTGACACTACCTACTACTAGGCCATTTTTTGGTTTTTTTTTTTTTTTTTTTGGTCTTTTTGAGTCACGGGCTCCCTGTATCCTGAGCTGACCTGGAACTCACTATGTAGACCAGGCTGGCCTCAAACTCACAGAGATCTGCCTGCCTCTGCCTCAGATGCTGGGACTAAAGGCGTGCACTACCACACCCAGCTTTTGTTTGGTTTCTTTAATAAGGCTTCTGTGTAGCCCAGTTAATCTAGAATTTGTAATCCTCCTGCTTCAGCCTCCTGAGTTACAGAATTATAGATATGTACCACTATGCCCTGCTACTCTGCCATCTTTGCCGAGGCCCCTTTTGGTTATCTTTTGAGTGCCTAGCATTTATGGAATATCGTAGAACTAATCTATGGCTCTGGATATCAAATTTTTGTATTTTTGCTTCTACTGCACACTTAAAGCAGCTGCACTAACATTCCCAGAGAACCTTAAAATAACTTAAAAATAAGATAAACTGTATGTTAAGCTGTATAGAGCAAGTCTTTCTCATTAATCTTATAGCTGGGCCAGAGAGATAGCTCAGCAATAATAGCACTGGCTGCTCTTCCAGAAGATCCAAGTTAGGTTCCCAGCACCCACATGGCAGGTAAGAACCATCTGTAACTCCATTTCCAGGAGATCTGATGCCCTCTTCTGGCCTCTGCTGGATTGCACAAACAGGGCACACTTCACATGCAGGCAGGCAGAACACTCATACACATTAATAAATGAATAAATAAATAGAATAAAATACAAACCTTATATCTAAGGTACTTGGAGTACACTGGAAGTCAGCTTTCTTCCTTGATGATATCTATGTAGTTTATTTTAGGAGTTTTAATACACTTATTTATCTCTATAAATATCATTGTCAAATAAGAAATTATAGGCAGGACTGGAGAGATGGCGTTGTGGGTAGAGCACTGGCTGCTCTTACAGAAGACCTGGGTTCGATTCCCAGAACCCACATGGTAGCTAACAGCCATCCATAACTCCAGTTCCAGGGGATCCAATACCCTCTTCTGACTTCCACAAGCATTGCACATCATGGGCGCACTTACATACATGTAGGCGTAACACTCATATATAAAATAAAAATAATTAAATTTTTAAAAATGGGCAAGCTAGTTAAAGAAGCCAAATTTACCAATTATAGATTTACCAAGAGTATATTAAATACCTATAGATTAAGTTGACATCTATTTACAGAGAAATTTATCCATTATTTTTTAATATTTTTATTGATTCAAGAATTTTATACAATTTCTGCAATATTTTTATTAAAATATTTCTACAAGTAAATTTAGTTCCACAAAGTAGCATATTTTCTAATTCTCTATTAAGGTTAGTTTTTACTTAGGGATCACTTAGATTCAAAGTCAAATCTCTAAAGTGGCATAGGCATAGTGGTACATGTCTGTCACCCCAGCCTTTTGGAGGATAACACAGGATTGTCCTGAGTTCCAAGACAGCTTGGGTTACATAGTGAGATTGTCTCAAAAAAATAAAAACAAGCAGGGTGTGTCACACGCCTTTAATCCCAGCACTTGAGAGGCAGAGGCAACTGGATCTCTATGAGATCAAGGCCAGGCTGGTCTATATAGCAAGTTCCAGGTCAGTTAGGGCTCCAGGAAGACCCTGCCTCAAGAGATAAAAATAAAATAAAAACAAAGCAGTCAAATCACTCTAAAACATATACACTGAGGTTGGCCACATTTATTCCCTCTATACATTCTTTCTAGGTGCTCTGGTTCTTCATCTTGAAATATCGACTTCCAGAAACATGGTTGTCAGATGAAACTGCCAGGGTTAAGATTTCAAAAGAGGGGCTGGAGAGATGGCTCAGCTCAGTGGTTCAGAGCACTAGCTGCTCTTCCACAGGACCCAGGTTCAGTTCCTAGCACCCAAATGGTGGCTAACAACCATCCAAAATTTCAGTTCCAGGGGATCCAACACCCTCCTCTGACCTCCACAGGTACTGCATGCATGTGGTGCACTTATATACATGCAGGCAAGCACTCATATACAAAAAATAAACTTAAAAATATTTTAGCAGAAATATATGGATATTCACATTTTATTATATACAAAGAACAATAGTTTTATCAGATAAAAGAATATATAGTCATAATTGGTAGTCTAAAAAAGAGTCTTTTCTCTAAAAGAAAAAAGTGGATCCTCAAAGTGGATCCTCAAAGCAAGAATCAAAGGTGTAGGCAGGGCTCCTGAACAGCAGGTTATGGTCTGGGGAGCTGTCCTTGGGTGAACTCTGGAAGCTAACATTCCATGTGTGAGACCCCATGAAGGAATGAAATGTTTTCATGTCGAAGGAAAAGCAAATGAAAATACTGAGGAAGAGTGCTTCCAAGGGTTTTGTTTATTACTGACAATGATTTTAGAGATAACCACTGAACCATGCTTAAGATTTCTAGGTAAAATCCCAGATTTCTCATAATAAGAACTTTTTGTAGCTCTACAAATGGCTTGGTGACAAAAAGTGAGAAGTGAGCTGAGAAGGCAAAACAGAAAAATCTAGTTAGAGGAAAGAAAATATAGAACTGAGTCATAGCAAGAGAATAAAGACGGCCCTTTCCAAGGCCAAGTGCTAACAACAGTCACCATGAAGTCCAAGCCAAGAGTAACGCTTAACAATATACAAGAAAAATACTTTTCATTTGTTATAAAAGGGCTACTTTACATGAAGTTAAAACACAATATAAACACCAAATGAAAAACAACTCACTAAATACTTGAACTACATGGAGTAAAAAAAAGGGGGACATTAAATTCAACTACATTTACTGTATTGCCTTGATATACTCTATTCCATTTCAATCCGTACAGAAGCTCAAATTCTGGGGTGTCAGGTGTATTTTTTATTTTTCTTAAAAAATAATCTTGACCCTCAAGCCAATTAGAGATTTATCTGGGCTCGTAGTGGCAATCTGCTCTTTGTAGCAGAGTGCTCTGAGGTTTCTTCCACTTTAGACCTCTCCACTGGGTTAATGCCTCTGTTTTCTTTATCTTTTCCAGGTGGTTTTTTATGCTGTGGATTTAAGAGGAGAAATGAAGTCAATATAATGTAATATTTGCTAGACATTGACACATTCTCAAAGTTCTATACATTATAGGTAAAAAAATTTATAAGTAGGAAACTTCACAAAAGGTTCAGCACAAATCTGAGCCAACTTTGTTTTTTGTTTGTTTTCAGCAAGTACAGCCTTCTTTATCAGTAAAGTAGAAATATTATTTTTCACATTATTTTCTAAAACATAAAAACACATTCTGTAGGAGTGGTTCACAACAGGGAGTGATTCTGCCCCCTAGTGGACACATGGTAAGACCCAGAGACATTTCAGGTTAGTATAAATGGGGAGTAAGTACTTACTGTCAAAACGAAACAAACAAGCAACAACTACCTCCCCCCACCAAAAAAAAAAAAAAAACGTAGACAAAAATGTGCTTCAGACTTTGCATTTGGGAACTATGTATCATGAGAATCCTCCTACTTATTGCATATTCACATAACTCAACTTTATAGTTATAGACTCTGGGAAAGCAACTCAATTACATACTTGTATAAGGCCCTGAAATCCAACTCTAGCACCAAAAATTAAAAGGACAAATAAATGCCACAAACAACAATAATAAAAGACAGATGTGTTGACACACATATCCATTATCCCAGCTACTCAAGAGGTTGAGGCTAGCCTGGGCAACAGAGCATGAATTGCCTCTATCTCAAAATCAAAACTTAGTAATGAACAGTAATGAAAGGAATGAAAAGGAATGAAAGAGTACTGATCTGCCTGGGTACTCATTAAGGTTCTCTTAGCATTCCTTTTTCCTAAGTACAAGACAGAAGAAAGGGATAAAAAATCTGAAAGAAGCCCGGCATGGTGGCGCACGCATTTGGTCCCAGCACTTGGGAGGCAGAGGCAGGCGATCTCAGTGAGTTCCAGGCCAGTTGGGGCTACAGGGAGACCCTGTCTCAAAAAGACCAAAACAAACAACACTGAAAGAAATATGTTTACAGGCTTTAAAGAACTGGGCTGTGGGCATAGCTCAGATTTGCCTAGCAAGTATATAAATAAATTGTGGTCTTCAAAATATAGGGAAAGATGCCAGGCAGTCTTTGCTTTTTGAGTTTCCCTATGTGGCCCTGGAACTCACTATGTAGACCAGGTTACCCTCTAACTCACAGAGATCTGGCTGTTTCTGCCTCCAAAGAACTAGTCCTCAGAGAGATTAAGATGCCAAGACTTCCTAGCTAAAGGCAAAAGGGAGAAAAGACTGCTTTCAGTATCTATCCATTCTGAGTACAAGCAGCAGAAATGGGACAAGTATAATGGCTGAAAATTTATACTCAAGTATTCTATAGAAGACTCCTATCAATGTCAGATTAGGTAGGAAATTCAAATAAAAATTAACAAGCCATCGCAAAGGAATTACTGAAAATTTTTTGTTTTACACCAAGATTATTGTTTCTTGTTGTTTGTTTTGTTCTTGAGAGACAGGTTTGGCTTTGTAGCCTTGGCTATCTTCAACTTTTGCCTCAGCCTCCTAAGTACAGGGTTGATTAAAGGCATGTGTCATCATACCTAGCTAGGCTAATCCCTTTTTACCAAAAAGTAAAAATATCTGACTTATGACAAATGTGGAAGGGTTAAATGAAATTATATAATCAGGTACCTGAAAAAAAGGAATACCACCACTTGAAGAGCAATCCACACTGGTGTGCACACATGGCTCTTGACTTAAAGGTTCTTCAGTATATTTCTCCAAAAGCTCCTCCTCTTCATCCATGTCCTAAAAGAAGAATCTGGATGAGTAATTAAGTCCAAGAGCTAAATCAACAAAGAGCCAGATATGGTGGTACATGCTTAGAATACCAGCACCAGGGAGGCAGAGGCAGAGGCAGGAGGAGCACTACAACGGCAGCCTAGACTACACAGCAAGTTCCATGCCAGCCAAGGAAAAACAAAACAAAAAAATCATCATAAAAAAAGTGCAGTTCTCTTCTTTCAGAATGATCTAATATGTATTATAAAAGTTAAGCTTTGATAAAATTAGTATAAAGTCTACAAAATGGGCTTACAGTTTACTTTATTTTCTAACTTCCTAACTTTTCTATAATTACTATTAGCTACAGAAAACAAATTTAGACTTGATTGTCTAAGTTCTAATTGTGGAACTTAATCTTTGTAACTTGAAACTAATAGTTTCCTTGTTTATGAAACAGTATAGCATTGGTATCCATCTCACAGGGCTACTGAAAGAGCTAAGTTAACATACATGTTAAGAGTTTAAAATAGTACTTATAAAAATCAAAGTTTAGGGGCTGGAGAGATGGCTCAGCGATTAAGAGTACTGGCTGTTCTTGCGGAAGATCCAGGTTCAGATCCCAGCACCCACATGACAGCTAACAACCATCCATAACCTCAGTTCCAGGGGATCTAACACCTCTTCTGTTGTCCGTGGGCATTGCATGACACGATTGCACTTACATACATGAATGTAATACACTCATACACATAAAATAAAATTAAAAAAAATCAGTTTAAATACTGGCTCTTTATTATCTTTTAGTCTAAAATAATTGAAAAATCAACAAGATTAAAAGAGGCTTTAGGGTCAGACAACTATCACAGGAGACGGTAGGACTGAAGGGTAAACAATAACATTCTTTGCCTGACATGGTGGTACACGCCTTTAGTCCCAGTACAGAGGCAGGAGGATCTCTGTGAAAACGACCAAAATAGAATAACGTTCTTCACATGAAATCAATCATATCAAGAGTTTACAAGGTGCTGAAGAGATGACTGAGTAAAGCACTTGCTGTACAAATGTAAGGACCAGAGTCTGGATACCCAGCACTCACCTAAATGCCTAGTGGGTGTGGCCCACCTAAAAACCCTAGCACTTGGGAGTTGGAGACAGGGGGGATCCGTGGAGGAAGGTGGCTAAGCTAGACTGAATCAGTGAGCTCTGGGTTCAAGTGAATGCCCTACCTCAATATATACAATGGAGAGCAATTGACAAAGACACCCAACATCAACCTCTGGCCTCCACCCACACTACACGTACATCCCCATACACACATGCATTCACACACAGAAAATAATTGAGTTTTTGGGAGAGTTCTAAAATTATGATGCTTTAAATTTTACCTCACTGATCTCTTTGTTGTTTTCTGAACAGTTCAGCATCATTAACAGCTTGGGCTGTTTTTTCTGCAACTGATCAAGGAGTTGCTCCCGAGGTTCAGTTCTCACCAGTGTTGATGGATATAAATAACTTTTCCTCTCTGGTGTCATACCTTTAGCAGACATTAGAAAAGTGGGGTTGGGGAGCTTAAGTATGAAATATAAGTTTAGGTATGTTAAAATATATACTTTCAAATGAGTCTTGTCTTCCGAAAACATAATGACTGCCACATACCCTGCTGCCTACTAGGTGCATACTGGTTGAAGCTAGTAATATTTTCTATTTGTAGTAATAGATCTTAGATAGACCTGACCATTCTAAAGTGTCATCTGAGATATACAAAAGATGCATTACGTTCAAAATTGAACTTTAGGTATTCTGAAATATAGTGGCATTACTAGAACTATCAACATCATTACTCTGATAGGCGTAACCATCTCATTATAAACTTGGAATGCTTAACTCTTACCCAGTTACATTTCTTTATAATAAACTCACACTACCATAATTTACAAAGGGCTATGCCTAGGCCAGGTATGGTGGCACATGCCTGTAGTCCCAGCACTTGGGAGGTAGAGGCAGGCGGATCTCTCTGAGTTCAAGGCCAGCCTGGTCTACATAGTGAGTTCCAGGCCAGCTGGGGTTACAGGGGGACCCTGTTTCAAAAAGGCCAAAAACAAAGGGATTTGCGTCTTCACTTAATATTTCCATTTCCATTGACAGTGAACAATAAAAGCTGAAAGGTCTCTTGAAGAAAAAGTAAGCCAATAATCTTTAAAAAGAAGCTTTGTGGGCTGGAGAGTTGGTTCAGTGGTTAAGAGCACTGGCTGCTCTTGCAGAGGACCGGGTTCGATTCCTACCACCCACGTGGTTGCTAACAACTGTCAGTAACTCCAGTTCTCAGGGATCCAACGCCCTCTTCTGACCCCAAAGGCATTGCATGACATGGGTGCACTTAAATACATGCAGACCATATACTTATACACATAAAAATAAATAAAATTTAAAAAATAAAAATAAAAAGGAAGCTTTGTGATGTAATTTATATACCACAAAATCACTCAAAAGGTATATAATACTTCATTGATTTTTTTAAAAATATTTTATTATTTTTATTTTATGTGTATGAGTGTACTGCCTGCATGTATGTGAGTGCACCCAAGGGCTTTGGATTCCCCTGGAACTGGAGTTAAGGAAGGTTCGTAGCCGCCACATGGGTGCTGGGAATTGAACCCGGTTCCCCTGCAAGAGCAGTCAGCTCTCTTAATTGCTCTCCAGCCCTGATTTTTTTTTTAGTGACTTTATGTTCAATGAACAGTTCAACTATTTATCTGTGTAAATCATTGCAGTTTCCACTGCCATTCTGTATCTCTTTTTTTCCCCTTTTTTCTTTAATTTTTTCTGATTTCTAAAAATAGTGATTCCTTAATGATGACAGTCAGTGACAAAATAGGAGACATGACAAAATGATTAATGCCATGAACTTACATTAAACAAGACTTAGCTAATTATATCCCTCTAATATTTTTGGTATTGAAACACATCCTTTTAGATACATTGCTAGTTAGTTGGTTGCTTTGTTTTAAAAATGCCTTTTGTCTTTGTTCTACTTTTTTGATCTTTTTGAAACAGGGTCTCCCTGTAGCCCCAGCTGACCTAGAACTCACTATGTAGACCAGGCTGGCCTTGAACTCACAGAGATCTGCCTGCCTCTGCCTCCCTAGTGCTAGGATTAAAGGCGTATGCCACCATGCCTGACCTGGTCTATTTTTTTTGAAACAGGGTCTCCTATAGCTACCCTCAAATTCACTGTTACCAAAGATGACCTTGAGTTCCTGATCCTCCTGCCTCTACCTCCTGAGAATTGGTATTACAGACATGTGCCACCACACCCAACAATTTCTCCCCAACAACCCCATCCTTTAAAATGCTTATTCCAAACAAAGCCAGTTTTCTGAATGTTTGTGAAATTTTACTGCATTGTGCCCATACATGATCCATATAAAAACACCTAACGTTTGATTAAGATTTTGGTATTTGTTCTAGTTTGTTTCTCAATTGCTGTGACAAAACACTCTGACCACTACCAACTTGCGGAGGAAAGGGTTATTTGGCTTACATCTCCTAGATCACAGTTCATCAGAGAGCCCAAGGCAGGAACTCAGGGCAGGAACATGGAGGCAGGGGCTGGAGCACAGGCCATGGAGGAACACTGCTTACTGGCTTGCTCCCCTGCCCTAAGTTCAGCCTGCTTTCTTTTCCTTTTTTTTTTTTCCTTTGGTCTTTTTGAGACAGGGTCTCCCTGTAGCCCCAGCTGTCCTGGAACTCACTATGTAGACCAGGCTGGCCTTGAACTCACAGAGATCCACCTGCCTCTGCTGGGATTAAAGGCATGTACCACCACACCTGGCCCTCAGCCTGCTTTCTTATGCAACATGGGCCCACCTGCCCAGGGTGGCGCCACTCACATTGGGCTGGGCCCTCCCAACTGAGGCTCCCTCAACCCAGGTGTGTCAAGTTGACACTAAAGCTATCTAACACGGTTTCTAAAATTTCCATACTTAAACTTTAACAATAAGATGGTAAATTCCTACAATTTTATATATATAGTTGAATTCAATTGCAAAAACTTTAATAATTCTGTTTCTGTTTTAAAATACCTGTTGGGATATCCAGTTTCAGATCCTGTTGCAGAAAGCAATTAAGCTTTGTCAAACCAGTTTTTATAGTTTCATCAAGCTGTAGACTTCGTGCCACCAATTTTTCTTCATCAGTGGCTATATGAACAGCAAAGGTATTGTGCTCCTTCTCATGAGCTGCTTTATGTCCACTAAATTTTTCAGTGATCTCTGAACTTGAAGTTTCACAACATTGATTTACAACCTGTAAATAATACAATCAGGCTTTCATCACTAAAATTAAAGTTCTCGAAACTGTCAGTGCTTTAGCCAATATATAATTTTCCCTTACCTTGAAGCTTTCCATAATGAAAATTTTAAATACATACAAGTATAGAGAACAGTGTAACTGCCCCTTCTATTCACTGCCCAGCCTCAGCACATGAACGGGTAAAGCAAGACCCACCTAGTCCTCCATCCCAGGATGATTTTGAAGCAAATCATGAATCACGTTTACTTCAACATACAATTCTAAAACTTGAGCATGTTCAGAGTACTATCATATCTTTAAAAACGAACATCTATTCCTTTGTATCAAATGTCTACAGTGTTCAAATTTGACCAGGTATCTTTAACATTTTTCATAATTGGTTTGTCTGAACCAGAATTCATCATTAGCTATAGATAAGGGGTGAGCATGTAATTTATCATCCAAACTAAGATTCATTTCAAAGCAAAAAGATCTATTCTTTAAAAAAAAGGAAAAAAAAAAAAAAAAGGAGGGGGGGGGGGCATGGGGGCGCAGGCCTTTGATCCCAGCACCCAGGAGGCAGAGGCAGGCGGAGCTCTGTGAGGTCAAGGCCAGCCTGGTCTACATAGTGAGTTCCAGGACAGCTGGGGCTACAGAGAGATGCTGTCTCAAAAAGACCAAACAAAAAAGGGCCTTAGGGAGCTGGAGAGATGGCTCAGCAGTTAGGAGCACTAGCTACTCTTGCAGTGGGATTCAGTTCACAGCACCCGCATGGTGGATAATAACCATCTGGAACTCTGGATCCAGGGGGCCCAACATCCTCTTCTGCCTCCAGGGCACTGCATACACATGGTACACATACATGCTCTGCTTCCCATGGGGTGGTATTGCAATGTATACCACCACATCCAACTTGGTTCTGCCCCCAGTTTTCTATAACCTGAATCTAAGGGGTAGTCTGATTTGGGTTTAATATTCTGTTAAGAATATTTCATGGGTGGTACTGAAAACTTATTACACCTAGTTTTATTTCCCATGTTAATCAGTGGGTTCATGTGTAGTTACGCTATTAATTATTAAGTTCACTTTAAGCTCCCTTCTCACCCTTAAGCTTTTATCAAATAGTTAAAGCAATCATTAAGGTCATATAATTTATTTCACAAGTGGATATAAAAGTGGTAATAGTCTAATTGTACCATGTTCCATTATGTTAGCTCAGATTTCTATGAAATACTTTCTTCATCAGGTACATTGCTAAACCAAGATATGGTTCTTTTAAGAAAGATAAAATACTGTCTATTATTTTTGCTTTGCTTTCTGTTTTTGTTTTTTTGTTTTGTTTTTTGTCTTTTTGAGACAGGGTCTCCCTATAGCCCCAGCTGGTCTGGAACTCGCTATGTAGACCAGGCTGGCCTCAAACTCACAGAGATAAATCTGCCTCCACAGTGCTGTGCTGGGATTAAAGGTGTGAGCCACCATACCCAGCTATTTTGTTTTTCGGTGTTTTAAGACAGGGTCTCCCTGAAGCCCCAGCTGGCCTGGTACTCCCTATGTATGGTCTCTCAGAGATCCACCTGCCTCTGCTGGGCCTAAAGCTGTGATCAGATTTCTATGGAATACTAAACAAGTCAAAAACAAAGAATACAGGGACTGGAGAAATGGCTCCGTTGTTAAGAGCACAGACTGCTCTTGCCGAAGACCTGGGTTCAATTCCCAGCACCCACAGGACAGTTAACAACTGTAACTCCAGTTCCAGGAAATCTGACCTCTGTGGGCATTGCATGACATGGGTGTATTTACACACATGCAGGCAATATACTCATACACATAAAATAAAAATAATAATAATAAAACAAAAAACAAAGAATACAAACAGAAATTAAAAAAATATTAACTTCAAGATCTAGGAGACATGTCAAAGCATGAACAAGATCATGTATGAGTATATCAAGTATTATACTTAGAAGCTTAAGTCACTCACTATATCTTAAAACAAATACATCATTATTTCTTAAAATATAAAATCTTAAAATATATTTTGAAAATAATTTTAAGTCAACATATTCATTTCTCATCTTCTCAAAGTAAGTTCCAGGTAAACTTATTACCTCTGTTAAGTTCTGAAGTTCTTCTTTCCTTTTACTTAAGCAAGATACCCACTGTTCAGAAAAACAAACTGTGTTTGTGTTCAGAGACTCACACCTCTGTGTAGTCCTTTGAGACAGAGTTTCCAGGTTACTGTTGAGTGAATCACAGTGTTTTACAGACTCTTCAACCAATGTTGTGCCTTCCTGGCTACAGTGTTTTAGTTCTTGTGATAATCCATCAGAATCAGTAATAACTTTTTTACTGTGAACAGTTGTTTTATTGATTATATCTATAGATTTCCTGTAGGAAAAAGAGAATAACATTGTCGAAATGGGAAATTATGACTCAAAGAAAACATACCTTCCAAAGATCACACTGTTCTTAAGTGGCAGATTGGAAGTGGGCAATGTAGCACCACAGTCCATGCTCATAACAAATCTTTTGAGTTGTGAACAGATGCATTTTCCGCTCATTTTCTAGCTGACTGACATCATATCCACCATCAAATGATCTTTCAGAAGGTCATCTTCTCTCAGGAAACCACTCCTAACCTTCTTCTCAATATGATGTTTTACTTTGTATTACTTTCAATATTTAATCATTTGGTGCCTAAAATGAAACCTGCCTGGTTTTTTTTTTTCCCTCTTACTATATTAATCTAGAGAATTTCTTATAACCTCTACTCTAGTCCCTAAACTGGACAGTTATTCTATTAGGCGATTTCCTTTGCCTATGACATAATAAAGCACATTATTAATATTGTAACTGTGATTTTAAAATATTTATTATTTTCACTTATGTGTATGAATGCATTGCCTGCATGTATGTAAGTGCATCCGTTGTGCAATGCCTGTGGCAATCTGAAGAGAGCATCGGATCCCTTGGAACTGGAGTTACAGATGGCTGTTAGCTACCATGTGGGTACTGGGAACCGAACCCAGGTCCTCTACAAGAACAGGCAGTGCTCTTAACCACTAAGTCATCTCTCCAACCCCCATAACTATCATTTTAAAAGTCAACTATAAATCTCTCTAATAACTCGAAGAAAACTACATTGTGGTGCAACAAATTATATATACAGTATAATATAACAAACTCAAGGTCAGGATACTTAAAATTATTGATGACCTTTCATCTCAGAAAGTTTCTCTATAATATCACTCAAAGATATCTCATAGGCCCAGGTTATGAAAGTTACCATTATCACTAGATAGTATATACCACATTCAAGAATGCAAAGATGATGAAAACTAAAGTTTAACTTCAAATTAAGCGAAAATAATTGAAAAAGGAAAAAAAAATTAACAGTAAAGTTAGAGACCATCAACATAAATTCCTTCTTTAAAAGAATCCAAACCTAGGGCTGGAGAGATGGCTCAGCAGTTAAGAGCACTGACTGTTCTTGCAAGGACCCAGGTTTGAATCCCAGCACCCACATGGCGGCCAACAACTGTCTGTGACTCCAGTTCCTCTTCTGACCTCCACAGGCATTGCATGACACAGGTGCATATACATACATGCAGACAATACACTCATACCCATAAAATAACAAAATATTGAAGAAGAAGAAAAGGAATCCAAACCCAGTGAGAAGATGTGATTTTATCAAATGACTACAAACTATGACAATAAATACCAAAAATATTTGTGTCCAGTGCACATAAATGTAACTGGATTCCTGGGTGGTTCTAACAGTCGCTAGATCACACTAGAAACTGCAGAGACAAAAATCAAGAAAAACAACTTATAGTTGGGTGTTGTGGTGCACATCTTAATCCCAGCATTTGGGAGGCAGAGGTAGGTGGATGGATCTCTGTGAGATCAAGGCCAGCCTGGTCTACACTGAGTTCTAAGCTGGCTAGGGCTACAGGGATACCCTGTCTCAAAAAAAAAAGAAAAAATAACTTGCATAATCCAGTAAAGTATGACATTGTTCCCTATCCATTTCAGTCCTACTCTATTGTTCCCTCCAAAGGCAAACAAAAGAGGCTGGAAACCCATTAGTCTGCACAGAAGGAATACAAAATGAGAAAACACACTTTAGATTCAGAATCTAGGAAGAGTTCAAAACAAACACGGTACACAGAATAAGATCAACAGGTGGACTGAAAAACAAGCTGGGCATAATGATACACACTTATAACTTCAACACTGGCCAGAGAGAGGCAAGATTTAGCCAACCTGGACTACATAGCAAGACCCCATCTCAAAACAACAGCAGGGGCTACAGCAATGGCTCAGTGGTTAAAAGCACTTCCCACTCTTGTAGAGGACCCAGGTTTGGTTTCCAGCATCCACATAGTGGCTATCACTTGTAATTCCAGTTCCAGGGGATCTGATGCCCTTTTCTGGCCACCATGGCCACCAGGCATGTACATAGTGCATATATATCTATGCAGGCACTCACATAAACATAAATCTTTGGGGAAAAAAACACCAGCAGCAGCAACAACAATAACAGAGGGTTTTAAAACAAGGTAGAAATTAGTAAAGATAAAAGATAGAATTCTAGGGGCTGGAGAGATGGCTCAGCAGTTAAGAACACTGGTTGTTCTTGCAGAAGACCCAGGTTCGAATCCCAGTACCCACATGGCAGCTAACAACTGTCTGTAACTCCAGTCCCAGAGGATCCAATAGCCTCTTCTGACCTCTGTGGGCATTGCACAACACAGGTGCACTTACCTACATCCAGGCAATACATGCATATACATAAAATTTTTAACAAATTTAAAAAAGAATTCTAGAGCACGTCTATTCAATAGAAATATAATAGAAGCTACATCTATAATTTAAAAATTTCTAAGTAACAACATAAAGAAAGAAACTTGATAAAGCAGCTAGAATAACAGATTAGGTACACCCAGCAAATGTATAAGTAAAATTTAGGAAAACGGCACTGCCAGGGGAAGAAGGAAGTGGACCTACGCAATTATAGTAAGCACTGAGGAAACTGTGAATTATTCAGTGGCACATTTAAATTTTTTAAAAAAATTTTTATTATTTTTATTTTATGTACATGACTGTATAGCCTGCACATATGTACATGCACACACGGTATCATGCAATGCCCGCTGAGGTCAGAAGAGGCCTGGAACTAGAGTTACAGACAGTTGTTAGCTGCCATGTGGATGCTGGGACCCTGGTCATCTGCAAGAACAGTCAGTCCTCTTAACTGCTGAGCCACCTCTCCAGCCCCAGATTCAAATTCTTTAAAGCATTATTACAGTTAGGCATGGTGGTGCATGCCTGTAATACCAGCTCTTGGGAGGCTAAGATAGGAAGACTGCTACAAATTCCAGGTCAGCCAGAACTACACAATGACTACCAAGGTAGTAAGGGCTACATAACGAGACCCTACTTCAAAAAAAAAAATTTTAAGGGAGGCTAGGGTGAGATTTAGTGGGTAAAGCACTTTCCAAGCAAGTAGGAGAAACTGAGTTTGGATTCTCAGTACCCACAAAAATGCCAGGTGAGTGTAGGAGGAGACAGAATCACCAGAGAAAAACAGCTAGCTGAACTGGCTGAATTGGTGAGCTGAGTTTAAGAAAGAGACCCTGCCTCAATATATAAGGTAGAGAGAAACTAAGGAAGGCATCTTTGTCATTCTTTGGCTTTCTTATGCACACCCTTGCACCCACACACGTACACCATACACACAACTTTAATTAAAAAGATAAAAATGAAAACATACTACAAATTCTAAAAAACCCACTTAAAAGAGCAAAGCACTGAAAAGGTTAATGAATACAAACATGCTCAATTTCAATGAGGAAAGGTAAATAAGGAAAAAAAATCCAACAGAGAAAAGAGCAAAATCAGAGCTATAAAAAAGTATTTACCTCTGTAGACAGTCTCATGTAGCCCAGACTGGGATTTAACTCCTGACCCTCCTGCCTCTACCTCCCAAGTGCTGGGATTACAGGTGCAGGTGTGTGCCACCATGCCCAGCTTTAGAATTGTAATTTTTTAATTCAGCTACATTAATAATCATTTTAAATGTGAATGGGTTGACTATATCAATTCAAAATCATATACTGGGGTCTACAATTGCAGCTCAGCAGTAGAGTACTTGCCTAGCATGCACACACAAGCCTCTAGGTTCAATCCCCAGCACTTCATGAAAGGAAAAAAGCTAAAAAAAAAAAAAAAAAAATAGTTTGCTAAATTTGATGAAAAGGGAAGACCAACTCGATACTGTCTTTAAGAAACATACTTTAAATACTTGTGCAAGAGAAAGGAACCAAACAGCAAAGGAAAGCTGAGTACCTACATGAATTTCAGACCAAATACTTTTAGAGTTTTTTGAGAGGGAGAATCTTATAGCCCAGGCTGGCCTGGAACTCAGGACCCCCTCACCTCTTCCTCCCAAATGCTGGTATTACAGCCATCCATCACCATACCTAGCCCTAAATTAGATCTTGGAACAGTGAAGATTATCAAGGATAAGATCTAAGGACTAAAATCTCTACAGAGACATAACTAAATATCTATGCATCCAACAAGAAAATGTCAGCTACATAGGCAAAAACTGATGGAAATGACAAGGAAACAGACACATCTGTAACAGTTGGATTTCAACATCTCCTCTTGGTAACTGATGGAACAAGAAGGCAGAAACTCAGTAAAGATATGAGTAACAGTATTATCCCTCAACTTAACTGATATGAACACATGTTAAAAAAGATTTAAAATTGTATCTCGAATCACCTAACATAATACAATACTCAAGAAACAATTGCAGTGCTGGGCATGAAGCTCAGGCTTTAAATTTTTTAGGAGTCTTGAAGCAGGAGGATCACCATGAGCTCAAGGCCAGCAAGTCTACCAGACAAGTTCCAAAGTAATACGAATTACAGTGAGACCCTGTCTCCAAAAAAAAAAAAAAAAAACAGAAGCCAAAACAAAACACAAAACCCCAACAATTTCATATCACTCATCACTCACTGACACGCAGGAAAATCAAGCTGAGTAAGAAAGACAATCAGCAGATGCCAATAATGAGAAAACGTGTGCGCTGGAATTATCTGGCTAGTGTTTTATAGCAGCCATCATAAAAATGCTTCAAAAAGCAATTACATGCCTCAGGCCTGTAACTCCAGAAGGATTACTTTGAGTTCAAGGCCATTCTGGGCTACGAAGTGAGATCCTGTTTCCAAAAAAGGCAAAAAAAAGAGTATGAGGGGGTGGGGGGCAAAAAGGAAAAGAATAGGGGAAAAAGAAAACATATTTATGTATATATAAACACAAAAGGTCAACAAGCAAGAAATTTATTTGTAAGCATACCAGAATTATTTGTACTAGTTAATGTTTTTCTTCCTTCTGAAATAATTCCAGATTTATAGAAAATTTGAAAAGAAGTTAAAAAGAACTTACTGCTCTGTATTTTCTTGAATACTATCAAGTGGTTTCTGGATGTTTTCACACTCTTCCTCCAAAGCACAGAATCTCTCTGTCCAGAGATTGATTAACTGGGAAAGTTCCTACAAGGAAGAAGGGCAAGAGACTTTGAAATGATGACACTGAATGATGACATGGCTTTTTTCTGTATATGAACAACAACATGAAGTACTCTCACAGGGGAAAATTGGCAAATTTTTTTTTTTGAACACAGAGTCTCATCATATAGCTCAGGCTGGCTTGCAATCTGCTTGATCATCCTGCCTCAGCTACTGAGTTCTAGGATTACAGATATACACCACTACACTCAGCTAAATTATACAAATTCTTGACAAAAGATTTTTAATTCTACCTCTCATCCAGAAAAACAAAGTGATATTATAGTACTTAAAAAGAGTAAAGAGCTGGGCGTGGTGGCGCACACCTTTAATCCCAGCATTCAGGAGGCAGAGGCCAGGCTGGTCTCCATAGTGAATCCAGGACAGCTGGGGCTACAAGGAGACCCTGTCTCAAAAAGACCAAAAAAAAAAAAAGAGTAAAGAATTAGTCAGGCTTGGTGGTACATGCCTTTAATCCCAGCACTTGGGAGGCAGAGGAAGGCAGAGCTCTGTGAGATTGAGGCCAGCCTGGTCTACGGAGAGTTCCAGGCCAGCTGGGGTTACAGGGATACCCTGTCTCAAAAAGCCCCCAAAATTAAAATAATAAATGAATACTGTGCCTACTTTCCTTTAAAGTATGTTTTCCCTCCTCTTTCACCTTGCTGGGAGGAAAGGACCATTTGTTTGTCATAATGTGGTTAAGCATAGAGTTCTACATGCAGCAAATTCTCAAACAGTAACTGTTCTAAAGAAGTATTCTCAATTATTTTACACAAGTTACCATCAGAAACAATGGTGACTGTGGTGATTTCAGGTTTCCAAGTATTACTTTTACAGCATTTAGATTGTAAACTTATTAAGTTATATCAATGCATCATAAAATCATTTATACTTCCATGTCAGCTAAAGAGGTACCTGTGAATGCGTTTGCTTTACTGTCTTCAAGTCTTCCTTTAGCTTTTGACAATGCTTTTGTGACTCAGCCAAAGAAGAAACTGTATTTTCTTGGAGGTCATGCAGACTGTTACACAATACACTGAGAAAACTGTCAATTTCTTTCTTTTGATCTTCTATCTTTGAAGAAAAAACAAAATTAGTTTCTGTCTTAAGTAACACACAAAGTTTGAGGTATTAAGAACACAATGTTACCTTTTCAGACACTGTCAATGAAGTCTTGAAAATATGCTGTAGTTGTCTATTGATTTTCAATATGGACAGCACACTGGGGGATAAGATTGTCTTCAGGGAACTGAGAAGGTCAGTCATAAACTCATTCTGGTTTGAAAAATAAACGGGTCTTTAAAACTGAATATTTTCATTCCCAAAATCAAGCTGATTATATCTCAAATACTTTAGCAACTAAACACAAACATTCAAAATTCTTAATAGACATTCTTTATAAAGAGATATGTATGTGTATCTAGAGTTTATATTCAGCCTAAATCACTTAGTCCTACCTATAGTAACTAAGAAAATGTTCCCTCAAAATATCTTTTGTGTTTGTTATTTTGGGGTACAGGATCTTACGTAGCCCAGGCTGGCCTCAAACTCACTATGTAGCCAAGGATGTCCTTGAACTCCTCCTGCTCCTCCTACCTCCACTTTCCAAGTACCAGAATTACAGGCATGTACCAGGGTACCTGGTTTTTATAGTCAATTCTTAACAGTCTTAAGAATTCAGAAGAGGAAGACAATGACAATCAAGTGATAAAAGTCCAGCATGACAGTTTGATCCCCAGCATAAGAAAACAACAAAATGGATCTTTTGTTCATTTTAACAAAAAATTTTTTTTAGTTTATTTTACATGTATAAGTGTCATGCCTGCATGTGTTAAAGTATACCTGTGTCATGCAGTGCCTGCGAAGGACAAAAGAGGGTGTCAGATCTCCTGGAACTGGAGTTACTAATGTTGTTAGCCACCATGTGGGTGCTACAATTCAAACCTAGGTCTTCTCCAAGAACTGCCAGTGCTCTTAACCACTGAGCCATCACTCCAGCACACACAAAAAAAAGTTTAAACAGATGTAGGTTATTAGTCAAAAAGTCCCAAGTTGGGGCTGGAGATGGCTCAGCGATTAAGAGGACTGACTGCTCTTGCAGAGGACTCAGATTCAATTAACTTCAGCTCCAGGGGAATCCCAAACCCTCTTCTGACCTCCGAGGGCATTGCATGATACGGGTGCACTCACATACATGCAGGCAATACACTCATACACAAAATAAAAATAATAAATAAAAATTTTTTTAAAAAAGTCTAAGTCATTAAACAGTCATCAAAAAAAAGTAGGCTCTGGAGCAAGCCTGAAATTCTAGCACTCAAGGGGCAGAAGCAGGAGCATTACCATAAGATTGAGACTGGCCTAGATCAACCTGAGCTAAAGAATAAGACCCTGCATTAAAACACTGGGAAAGAGGTAGGATAGGGGGAATAGGCTTTTAGTCTCAAAGTATTTAACTGTGAAAACCTGATGACTTACAACCTATTGTATCAGACTTGTGCGATTTTGTTCTCAAGAAGGTAGATGTAGCTGGGCATGGTGGCACACACCTTTAGACCCAGCACTTGGGAGGCAGAGGCAGATGGATCTCTGTGAGATTCAGCCCAGTCTGTTCTACACATTGAGTTCCAGGCCAGTTGGGTCTACAGGGGAGACCCTGTCTCAAAAAGAAAAATAAGAAATCAAAGAAAGAAAGAAAAGATCCTTTCACTTGGGCAGGGGCAACAAATAACTACAAAATCTATAAAAGAAAAAAATTAGCAGGGCTGAGAAAAGTGCTTGCCACACAAGCATGAGGATCTGAGTTTGATTCCCAAAACCCCTTTTAAAAAAAAAAAAAAAGAAAAAGAAAAAAAAAAGCCAGATACAGCACATGCTTGTAATCCCAGCACTGGGGAATCAGAGTTAGGTAGATCCCCAGGGCTTGGCCCAAAAGAATGTTCATTGAATCATTGAATAAAAAAGCACTTGCTGTAAAGTCTGATGACACAAGTTAACCATGTAAAGATGGAAGGAGAGAACTGACTCAAGTTTTTCTCTGACCACCACATGCACATACCCCCACCACACAATAAAAATCTTACATAAAAATAATACCCAAGGAGAGACACCCAAGGATATCCCCTGAGCTCCATATTCCCATGTTCCAGCACACACATATGCACCCACACACATTCACACTAACACACATACACAACCCCCCACACACAAAGGAAAAGACAGAAAAAAAGGGAAGAAAAATCAAGGGAAAGAAAAAAGAAAGGAGAAATAGAAACACTTAAAAGGTTATATATAGGGGCTGGAGAGATGGCTCAGCAGCTAAGAATACTGGCTGTTCTTGCAGAAGACCCAGGTTCAAATCCCAGCACCCACATGGCAGCTAATAACTGTCTGTAATTCCAGTTCCAGGGGATCTGACAGCCTCTTCTGTCCTCCGCGGGCATTGCACAACACGGGAGCACTTACCTACATGCAAGCAATACACACATACACATAAAATAAAAATAATAAAAAAATATTTTAAAAAGATAAAAGGTTATATATGGACTTTTTGGAAAGAGGAGGTAGCATACTAATTTCAAATACATCTGTGCAAACCATGGTCATCTTTTCTTTTGGTCCAAGCAATGCTTTTTTAAAAAATATTTGTTTATTTTATATGTATGAGTGTTATGCCTGCATGTAGGTAAGTGCACCCGCGTCAAGCAATGCCCAAGAAGGTCAGAAGAGGCTGTTGGATCCCCTGGAACTGGAGTTATAGGCAGTTGTTAGCTGCCATGTGGGTGCTGGGATTCCAACCCAGATCTTCTGCAAGAACAGTGTTCTTTAACTGCTGAGCCATCTCTTCAGGCCCCAGGTGACGCTTTTTTAACTTGCTGCTGTAGGATCAATAAATATCAACCAACAACAACAAAAAAAAATGTATGAATCAAGTTCTGAAGTTAGTAACAACAGATTAGGATTTAACTTTGTCAGACTTAGATGATGGAAGAAACCTATGAATAACTTGTAAGTACTGAATCTAGGCAGAGAGTCTGTTAACATTTGTAATATGTACTTAGAAAATGTGAAATAATCTTAACCACAAAAAAGGAAGCAATGAGCCTACACACCAAGAAGAAAATAAGCAATATGGCCAAAAGCTTTCTAAACAAACAACATAATTACAGAATACAAATAAATCAGGGCTAGCGAGATGCCTCAGCAGGTAAAGGCACTTGAGCGCAAGCCTGATGACCTGAGTTTGATGAAGGAGAGAATCCACTCTCACAAGTGGTCCTCTGACCTCCACATGCACGCCATGGCACATATACATACACACATACACGATCACAAAGTAAATAAAATACAATAAAAAATTAGAGCAACAATAAGTCAGATATAAAGGAGGTAACACTAAGTATAATCAGATGAGTGACTTCTTTTTATTTTTATTGAGACAGATCTCATAATCCAGGCTGCCCCAGTAATTTCTACATAGCCAAGGCTGTATCAGAGTTGTGATTCTCCTGCCTCCGTCTTTCAAGTGCTCAAATTACAGCCATGAGCCACCAGCCTGGTTGAATGAGTGATTCCATAAACTATGGAGAAAAGCTTTTAGAGTTAAGGTCCAGTGAGGCTTGGTCACATAGGTTTAATGAGAAGAATAATTATATGTGTTCCTAGAACTCAATTTGTTATTTTTCCAGCATTGCTATCACATATTATCACAACTGCTATTATCACATGTTACTGGAGCTTTAAAATTAGCTACCCATGAGCCAGCAAGATGGCTCAATTGCCCTTTAGTCATTAGAAGGCTTACTAATAATTCCTACTTGGTTGTTTGAGACAGGGTCTCATGTAACCTAGGCTGCCTTCACATTGACTATACCGCCAAGGATGGCCTTGAACTCTTGATCTTTCTGCCTCCATCTTTGAACTACTGAAATTAAAAGCATGTGCCACATGCCTGGCTCAATAATTCCTACTCTCAACTATATCAAATGAGTGAGAAAAGTTTCAAAGTTTAGTTATATACACATGGAAACCAATCTAATCTGTCTGGTAGAAACAAAACTACAGTCAGTATCTGGCAAAGCTTAAAATAAAAGAGCAGTTAACATTGTTTTTGATGACTTATCAATTGTAACCCTTTAAAAATATGAAGAGCTGTACTAACAATCAATCTTTGCAGTACAGTTTTACTTTGTGCTGCTAATGATTGCTCTTCTAACACCATATTCGAAATCTGAGAAACATGAGCCGACACGCTTTCGGGAATGGATGTGAGAGATTCAAGTGCTGCCATGGTAATGGTATCTAATGCAGAGATGCTGGAAGACATCAGATTACCTACAAAAAAGAGAGAGATGTAAATTTTGCATAAATATTGAAAGTTAAGACCACTTTTAATAAAGCAAAGGTAATGTTATGAAATTTGGCTTACTACATAAGCAAGGAAAAATTTAAATGTTTTATAAGCCCTTGACATATTTTAAGCATATCATACTCAGAAGTACAATTTAGAATAAACTAAAAATCAGAATAGTCCTTATTGTTTCTTTCTTTGAGATGATCTTAGTCTATAGCCCAGATTGGGCTCAAAATCCAGGCAATCCTGCCTCAGTTTCTCAAGTGCTAGGAATAGAAGCACGAGCCACTTGACTTAAGAATTAGAATATTCAAGGTTGGAGAGATATCTCAGTGGTTAAGAGCACTAGCTGCTCTTGCAGAGAACCCAGGTTCAGTAATCAGCACCCACACAGCAGCTAATAACCCCCCATAACTCCAGTTTCAGGGAACCCAATGCCCTCTTCTGGCCTCCACAGGCACTGCACATACATGGTGCATTTACATCCATGCAGGAAAAAAAAAACTCATACAAACAAAATAAAAAAATGTTTAAATGTTTTAAATAATTAGAATATTCTAAAATGAGTATCTAAAATTCCCAGTATTACAGTAGACAGGCATTTTAAAAGAACTCGAGCCAAGTCGTGTGTTACACACCTGGAATCCCATCACTGGGGAAAGTAGAGACAGAAGAGCGTGAGTTCAAAATCACTCTCACCTACACAGCAAGTTTGAGGTTACCCTGAGCTACATGACACTTTGTCTTTTAAGACAAAAGATAAATATATACATGTTAAAAGGAGAGAACCAACTCCTGTAAGTTGTCCTCTGACCTCCATGTGCACACTGTGGCACAAGTATGAGTGCACACACACACACACATAGGCACACAAATAAAAATATAAGGCAATTTTTGAAAAAAAGAAAGATGGCTCTCAGCAGTTAAAAGCACTGGCTGCTCTCAGCCAGGCGTGGTGGTGCACGTGTTTAATCCCAGCACTCGGGGAGGCAGAGGCAGGCAGATCCCTGTGAGTTCAAGGCCAGCCTGGTCTACATAGTGAGTTCCAGGACAGCTGGGGCTACAGGGAGACCCTGTCTCAAAAAGACCAAAAAAAAACCCACTGGCTGCTCTCGCAAAGAACCGGGATTCAGCTCCATCACCTAGATCCAGGGAATCTGATGCCTTCTTCTAGCCTCTGTCAGCACTGCAAACATGGTACACTTACATACATGTAGGCAAAATACTCATACACATAAAAATAAATGAATAAATAACAAATAAGGAAGAAAGGAAAGAGAGAGAAAGAAAGGAAAGAGAATTTCTAGGAAGAGATCCAAGAACTTTAATAGCAATCCCTGTAAGAAATGAGCCAGTTTCAGTGACTAAAGGGGAATTTTATTTCTAATGATTATATGCTAATTTGAAAAAGATTATTTTACAGAGAACAATCTAAAAACAAACAACAACCAACCTCTAAGATCTGTTTTAGTTAAAAGTAAAAGCATTTAATCTCCTGCCTGAACAGCTAGTATCCACTGGGGCAGGTACTAGTGACACTATCACCTGAGGTAGGATTTTTTTTTTTTTTTTTTTTTTTTTTTTTGAGACGGGGCCTCCCTTCCCCCCCGCCTGTCCTGAACCTCATTATGTAGCCCGGGCGGGCTTGAACCCCAAAGAGCCCCCCCTGCCTCTGTCTCCCGAGTGCTGGGATTAAAAGCGTGCACCACCACACCCAGCTTAATTTTTTTTTTTTCTGTCTTGAGACAGGGTCTCCCTGTAGCCTGAGCTGTCCTGGAACTCACGATGTAGACCAGGCTGGCCTTGAACTCACAAAGATCCACCTGCCTCTGCCTCCTAAGTTCTGGGACTACAGGCATGCGCCACCACGCCCGGCAGGATTTTTTTTATAGTATTAAATTATTCATTTTGAATCAGTCATGGTGACTCACACTTGTAACCTCAGCAGTAGAATTGAGGCAAGAGAATCACTAGCTCAAAGCCATCCTGGGCAACAAAGCGAGTTCAAGTTCAACCGGGTCAACTTAGAGAAATCCTGTCGATTGAACAAAAGATAGATAAAAATAAAACAAATGACCAAAACAGTCAAATTTGAAGTTAACCCTCACATGAAATACATAAAGACTAGAATAGGGTGGGAATTTAGCTCAGTTGGCAAACTGACTGCTTAACATGCAAGCAGCCCTGGGTTCCATCCCTACTATAAAACCAGGTGTAGTGGCACTCAAGAGAGAGGTAGGAAGATAAGAAGATCAAGGTCAAGCTCTGTTATATACCAGTTTCAAGGCTATCCTGGGGTACATCAGACCCCACCACAAAACAAACAAAAAAAGAATAGAATAATTAGCCAGAGGACTAGAGAGATGGCTCAGGAATTAAGAGCACTGGCTGCTCTTGCAGAGGACCTGGGTTCAATCCCCAGAACTCTTATGTTGACTGACAACCATCCACAACTTCAGTTCCAGGGGATCCAACATTCTCTTCTGAACTAAGTGGGCATTGCAAGACATGAGTGCACTCACATACATGCAGGCAATACACTCATACACATAAAATAAAAATAATATATTTTTAGGCTGGGTGTGGTGGCACATGCCTGGCTCCACAGGAGGCAGGAGGATCTCTGAGATTTGAAGGCCAACCTGGTCTACAGAGTGAGTTCCAGGTCAGCTGGGGTGACAGGGAGACCCTATGTCAAAAAAAAAAAAAAAAAAAAAAAAAACTATATTAAATTAGCCAAGCATATTGACACTCCTGCCATCTTAGCAGTTGAGAAGGCAGCAGGAATATCATGAATTGGAAGCTAGCTGGGCTACATATTGAGGTGTGTCTTGGATAAGGGGGAAAAAAAGGAGGCGAGGAGAGAGAAAAGAGGAAAAAAAAAACAAAAGAACACTAGAATGATTAGAAATGCTTAAATTGGGTAGAGGAGACAGCTCAGTAAAGTGCGTGCTATGCATGGGGACCTGAGTTCAATCCCAAGGAACTAACTAAACAAGGCTGGGCTTGGTCTTGGTAGTATATAATCCCAACACTAAAAAGGTAGAGACAGGCAGATCCATAGGGGTCGCTGGCCAGCCAGGCTAGTCTATATGGCCAGAGATCTTGGCTCAAAAAAAAATCAAGGTGAAGGGTTCCTAAGGAATGACATCTGAGGTTGTCCTCTGGCCTCCACATACACATGCTGTACACCAGTCCACATATGTGTACCCATAGAACACATGAACACACACACACACACACACACACACACACACACACACACAAATGCTTGGCTGGACATGGTGGTGCACACCTTAATCCCTATACTCAGAAGGCAGATGCAGGAAGATCTCTGTCAATTTGAGGTTAGCCTACCTGGTCTACACAGCAAATTCCAAGTCAGCTACATAGTATGACCTTATCTCAAAAAGAAATTCTTAAACTTACCAAACAAAGTCTTATGAACTTCTAGCATGTCCTTTTGTTTTTCACTGCCATCCTTAATTAATTCTTCCATATTATTAAACAGACTCTTCAGGTTTTTGCCAAAAATATCCTGAGCTTGTGCATTGTGTTCATCAACTGCTCTCTTACGGTCCAGTTTGGAATGAAGACCAGATACATCCTTTGTGGTTTCTTTAACTGTGTTAAGCAACTATATATTTAAAAGAAAAAGGTAATACAAAAGCAACTATGTTTAGTAAAGATTTCTCCCTGATGAGATGAGAACTAGGCACTAAATTTTAGACTTTATCTGAATAAATGCTTCATCTTATATTAATTCATCCAGGTGCTCAGGAATGCTTATGCTCCACCCAATCTACCCTCTCTACCTCTGCCAACCATTCATGCAAAGAAAATTGACTTTGCAAATTCATTACAGTAATTATGCTTGCTCTCAAAATGTTTTCCTTTTGCTTTACTATTTCCTCAAAAGTATACCTACTAAAAATACTTTCATTCCAATTGTTTTTTAAGGTGAAAAAGTAATGTTATAAAAACGGACACAAATCACACTTAGGACAAATAAATTCTTACAATTGAAGTTGAAGAAAATAGATACTCTACTATCCTTAATGTTTTTTCTTCAATACAAGTAGAAATCAAAACAGAGGAGTAGCTGGAGAGATGGCTCTGCAGTTAAAAGCACTGGCTGTTCTTGAAGAGAAACTGGATTTGGTTCCCATCACCCACATGGCAGCTAACAACTGTCTATAAATCCAGTTCTAGGGGATTCAATGCCCTCTTCTGGCTTCTGTGTATACTGCATGACACAGGTACATTTACATACATGCAGGCAAAACATCCAAACACATAAAAAAATTAAAAAATAAAATATTTTTTAAAATAAACAAAGGACAAACCTTGCTGGCAGTATCATGAAGTTTTTCCTCAGTTCTTTCCAAAGCTGAAGTAACATACTCTTCTTGAACAAGTTGTAATTTAGTGTCTTGCAAATGTTTCTGTGTGGTTTCGAGTTCATGTGTCTTATTTTGCAGATCAGATTTACACTGGTCAAGTTCATTTTTATTATCCATAAACAACTCTGTAACCTACATATAATATGCCAAACAATTCTTTAAGAATTAGAACAAATGCTGCTGGCTGGTTAGACACTTGGCTAGTTAATAATACTAGCAAAACAAAAATTATTTACAGCCGGGCATGGTGGCACATGCCTTTAATCCCAGCACTTGGGAGGCAGAGGCAGGCGAATCTCTGTGAGTTCAAGGCCAGCCTGGTCTACATAGTGAGTTCCAGGACAGCTGGGGCTACCAGGGAGACCCTGTCTCAAAATGACCAAAAAAAAAAAAAAAATTATTTACGTGTAAATTGTAGGAAGTTTCCAGGCTAATGAGAACTTTTTTTTTCTTTTTATGGCATCTGGTTTCTTCCTGTACAACTTATTCAAAACTTTAGAGCTTAAATAAGATGCCTAATGCAGTGGTCTTAATTCTTCAGGTTCCTTCCAAGATTTCAATGGACTGCCATCATAAAGGCACAACATGAGGTAGCATAGAGAATATCTTGTCTAAGCTAGTTACTACTTTTATTAAACATTCAGTGACTCCCAATTTCTGAATTCCTTAACCTGATAAACATGTTAATGTAAACACAGTATTCACATACCACAGCTTTGACAATAGACTATCATAATTCAAGTCATCTGCCACAAAATGACAATTCAATAAATATACTGTATACGCAACATGATTATATTAGAGCTGGGGACCACGGGTATAAGCTCAGTAGTAGGGAACATGCCTCAAATGTACAAGGGTTTGATATCCAGCATTACCAAGAGGGGGAAAAAAAGATTATAATGAGCCAGGTATGGTAGTGCATGCCTTTAACCCCAGCACTCAGGAGGCAGAGACAGGCGGATCTCTGAGTTCAAGGCCAGCCTGGTCTACATAGTGAGTCCCAGGACAGCTGGGGCTACAGGGAGACCCTGTCTCAAAGACTGAAAAAAAAAAAGGAACTAAAGACTTAAAAGACTTCTTATCATGTAGTGTCAAAAGAGCTGTCATGTTTTAGCACACCAAAATAATGACTTGTATACGATGATGCTGACATACTATACTGTCAGGCATATAAAAATATAACACATGTAATTATATGCAGATAACAATTATTGATAATGATAGTAAATAGCTGTTACTGGTTTATGTATCTATTATACTATGTTTTTAAACATTATTTTACAGTATATTCTTATATACTTAAAGAAGAAAAGCTAATCATAAAACAGGATAGGAAATGACATTTCCATGTGTTACTGTCCCTAAGAACTTCCAGTGAGACAAAGTACGGAGGTGGAAGATGATGATATTGATGACTCTGACCCTATGTAGGCCAAGGCTAACATGTATGTTGTGTCATATTTTGTCAAAAAAAAAAGTTAAAGGAGCTGGGGAGATAGTTCTGCAGATGGAGTACTTGCCCAGTATGCACTAAGCCCCGGGGTTCCATTCCCAACACTGCATAAAACAAGGCATAATGATGCAAACCATTAATCCCAGGTACACAGGAGAATCACAAATTCAAAATCATCCTCTGCCATATAGCTAGTTTGAGGCCAGCCTGGACTACATGAGACCTGGCTCAGAAAATAAAAATTAAAAATTAAAACTGGGTATACCATGGATCCTTGGTCAGTAGCAGGCTTTGTACATTTCTACAAGTATACTCTATAATGTTTGCACAATGAAATCATCTATAATGGATTTCTCAAAACACATCCCAGTCATTACATAATACCTGACTGTAATCTCCTTTAAATGTGTAGCAATAAATGTCAAAATAGAAAGCTTTTTCATTATCACCAGTGATAGTAGAAATATAATACAACTTACTTTCAGCATAAAAATCAGTAAGAAAAACTCTTAATAGAAAAGGTCCTATACATTTTGAACCTTTTTAATATTTGCTTTTCATTAACACTGTGTATCACCCACAATGCTTACCCGACTTAACTCCTCCTCAAGAGCACCAATTTTTTCAGCCAATTCAACAATTTGTTCCTCCTGAATAGATAATTTTCCATTCATGGCTCTAAAATAAAGTTTAATACAAGTTTACTGCTATGATTTTGTTCTAAACCCTACAAAGTGGCTCAATGTAACAATGTGGCAGCCACCCAAACTCATCTCCATACCCATCACCGTCATGATGACACAAGTGCCAATAAGCAATAAGTGCAAATTGCAAAGAGCAAATGTATCCTCGCCCTATTTTATAAATGGAGCATTTCTCTCTTGATCTCTATCCTGAAACTGAGAATCCCTATTTCTGAGGGAAAAACATGTATAGACATCAAATTTGAGATACCAGTAGAGCGGGAGAGTGACTCAGTGAGAATGCTTGCTTGTCTAGCACACACAAAACAGACTCTGAGGCCAGTCTTGGTGGCTCACGCCTTTAATCCTAGCATTCAGGAGGCAGAGGCAGGCGGATTTCTGTGAGTTCGAGGCCAGCCTGGTCTACATAGCAAGTTCCAGGCCAGGTGGGGCTACAGAGAAACCCTGTCTCAAAAAGGCCCAAAAAAAAAAAAAAAAAAAAAGGTACAGATTCGGGGTGGAATATAAACTAAGCGTTTGTAATCAGTGATATGTAATATAAAGATGCCCTGTTCCTGCATAATGTTGTAAATACTTAAGACTTGAAGATAAGAAACATCACAAAAAATAGGTGAGATAAATGACTAAAAATACCTAGAGGATTGAATTAAAGTACATACACAGAGCAGTGTCTTCCCCCACATCTACCTGCAGGGGATGCTCTCCCTAGTACAAATACTGTTATCATACTAGTGCCATAAGGCCTTTTAAGATCAAAGGATTATTCTCTAGGGCAGACTTTCTCAGTTTCAGCAGTACAGAAATGCCTTGTCATACAGTTCTTTGTTGCGAACTATTCTGTATATTTTAGGGTGTTTGGTAACATCACTGATCATCTCTCTTCCCTAGATGCCAGCATTTATACCAATGAGAACCATCAAAAGGCCTGTATATTGCCAAATATCCTCTAGGGAGCAATGTTGCCCAGTTTCTGAAAGCCAGAAGTCTGCACTAACTGCATGTGAACTTCAGCTTCCCTTTAATTATACACAATGAAGAATAAGGTTTAGGGTCTAAAAACAGGTAGCAAAAAAATCTACAAAGTGAACAGTGGACTTCTCAGCACTCAAACCCACTCTTTGATAACAGCAGCCAGAGCAATTGCTAAGCAGAAAGCAGGCTGAGTCTTCTCAGGACTAGAAGGCTTTGTTCCAAGAAGAGAATTCAACCAAGGAAACACTGGACAGAAGCCCAGGCATAATTCTAGGTCCCACTTATTCCACACTACAGTAAACTCACAGGTCTATAACCCTAACCCCCACACAAAGATTCTAATATATCTTCAATGTCAGCTAAAAATCACTAGACATTTGAGGGAAATGCAAATGACAGATCCTATAACAAACAGTAAAAAGGATTCTGAAGGAAGGACCAAGAAAACATTCAATATTAATAGTTCTCTGAGACAGTGATATAGTGTATCTATAAAAGAACATGATGTCATTTTTTAAAATTTATTTATTTTATGTGTATGTGTGTATTGCCTGCATGTAGGTAAGTGCACCCGTGTCGTGCAATGCCCACGAAAGACAGAAGAGGCTGTTGGATTCCCTGGGACTGGCGTTATAGGCAGTTGTTAACTGCCATGTGGGTGCCGGGATTCAAACCCGGGTCTTCTACAAGAACCGTCAGTGTTCTTAACTGCTGAGCCATCCCTTCAGCCCCTTTTTTAAAGGGCAGGGAAAACAGTACAGTTTTGACAAACTAAAAATTTGACAGCATGAGGCTAGAGAGATGGCTCAGTGGTTAAGAACACTGGTTGTTCTTACATAAGACCCAGGTTCGAATCCCAACACCCACATGGCAGCTAACAACGGTCAATAACTCCGGTCCCAGGGGATCCAACAGCCTCTTCTCACCTCCATGGGCATTGCACGACACGGGTACACTTACCTACATGCAAGCAATACACGCATACACATAAAATAAAAATAATAAAAAAATTTTTTAAATTTGATAGCAGAAATAAAATTCAACAAAAATGTTGAAGATACAATCAAAGAAAGTATAAAACGTAAAATAAAGAAAAGGCTGGAGAGCTGATGCAGTCATTAAAGGCTCAGGCTCACAGTCAAAATAAAGTAAGACCAATGCTTTTTTTGGTTTTTATTAGTTTGTTGTTTGGGGTTTTTCTTTGTCTAAAGACAAATTAGCCTGGAACTCATTCTGTACTCCAGGCTGGCCCAAAGCAATGCTTTTTAAGACATAAAACTCACAAGCCTTCCAGAGACTCACTTTACTGGATCATTCTGATTTCTTGAACACTAGGAAATTTCGGAAGTAACTGACTGGGTTGGTGGTTTAGATCATCAGTAGAGCTGCCAGATGATAAGAGTCATAGGGAGACAAGAAGATAATTATGATTTTTAAAAGGAAGCAAATGGAGATCCTCATGACAGATTTCTGTATCTCTCCTTGTGGGTTCCAGGAACTAAACACAGGTCCTAAGGCTTGGCAGTAAGTACCTTTACTCACTGAGCAAACTCATTGGCCCCAGTTATGTTTTAGAGAGTTTTATTATATAGCCCAGGCTGGCCTCAAACTCTCAATCCTCTTATCTCTGCCACCTAGATGCTGGGATTACAGGCATGTGCCATCATGTCTGGGCTTTGATATCCACTTTTTAAAAACCTTATTCTGAGGCTAGGCATGGTGGCACTGACTTTTCTACTTCCACTATGTGGGTCCCAGAGACTGAACTCAGATCATCAGGATTGGTGGCAAATGCCTTTATCCATTGAGCCATGTCACTGGTTCAATGTAACTTTTTTAAAAAATTTTCTTTTTATGTGTATGAGTGTATTGCCTACATGTGTATTTAAGTGTACCCATTCACACAGTGCCCTCAGAGGTCAGAAGGCATTGAATTCCCTGGAACTGGAGTTACAGATGGCTATTAGCCACCATATGGGTGCTGGGAATCAAACCCAAGTCCTCTGTAAGAGCAGCCAGTGCTAACTGCTGAGCCATCTCTCTAGCCCCCAATAACTATTTTTTAATGTCATAACTAAAAGAAGCACTTATTGGCATTAGATATATTTTCCTTATTGTTGCATAAGTAAATTTTACTTCAAATAACCTATTATCCGAAAGTACTACTTTTTAGAGCTGGGTATGGCATACCTCTGTAATTTCAGTAACTGGAATTCAGAATTTCAGGCCAGCCTTGAATTTATCTAGTGAGATTCTATCTCCAAAAAACAAAAATAAAAAACAAAACCTAAAGCACTTGTTCTTAGAAATTAACACCATAGCCCAAGACTTACTTGAAATTTTCTTCAGAGATGTACACTCCATTTTTCTCACGGGCTGCAGCAAGATCCCGCTTCAAACGCTCTATTTCCTCTGTGTACTCCTGCACAAGAGGAATGTTGTAGGTACAATTTAGCTGTTTCATTCAGTGTATGGAGCACATGCAACAAATAAAGCTTAAAGTTGGCCCTCGATATTTTTTCAAACATAAAAATTATAGCCATGTTTAAAAAAGAATCAGTAACTAAAACTGGATATTGGTGGAAGAGCAGATGAGTAAGTGAATGGGACAGGACAGAAATGGGCCCACACAGATGTATGGGAAACTTGATACACTAGATGACACTTAAATGAAAAACTAGTTCTGCAAAAGTCTGTGTGAAGATGAGAAGCCATACAACAGGGAGGGAAAAATATTTGCAAACCTCAAATATCCAAAAAGCTTTGGAACAAAGGACTAGTACCTAGAATATACTAAGAACTCTAACACACCTTAAGAAAAGAACAAATAATCCATCAGAAAATATGCTAGCTAAGGATGGTGGCACATGCCTTTAATCCCAGAGCTGGGGAGTCAGAGGCAAGTGGACCTCTGTGAGATAAAGGCCAGCCTGATCTACATAGTGACTTTCAGGTCAGCTGGGGTTTCAAGGAGACCATCTCAAAAAAAGAAAAGAGTGCTAACAGATATTCCACCAAAAAGAATATATGAACATCAAATAAGCGCATGAAATGTTCAACATCATTGGCCATTAGGAAAATTAAAACCAAGTGATAAACCAGGCATGATGTCACATGCCTTTAATCCCAGCAGGCAGATCCTGCCAAGGCCAGCCTAGCATACATGGTGAATTCCAGGATAGCTGGGGCTATAGGGAGACCTTATCTCAAAGATTAAAAAAAAAAAAAATGGCAAAAAAGAAAAGTAGTGATACCATCAAATGCTGATGGAGATGTGGAGAAATTAAATCACCTATGATGCTGTGGGAAACAAAAATTTTACAGCCACTCTAAAGAATAGTTTAGTAGAGCTGGGCATGATGGTATGTGCCTGTAACCCCAACAATCAGAAGGAGGAGGTGATCAAGAGTTCAATGCCTTGGGGTTGCAGAGATTGTACACCTCTTGCTCTAGCAGAGGATCTAGGTTCCTTTCCAGCACCCACATGGCAGCTAACATCCATCCTTAACTCCAGTTACAGGGGATCTGACACCCTCTTCTGGTCTCCACAGACATTGCCACACATGGTACACATATAAATACAAAATACTCATATACATAAAACTTTAAAAATAAGTTTTAAAAAAAGTTCAATGCCAGCTAGCTTAGACTATAAGAGTAAGACCCTGCTTAAATTCTATCCACCACAAAAACAAAACAAAACAAAACAAAACCATACACTTTAGTAGTTCCTTCAAAACTGAAGAGTTCAGTTACCACATAACATAGCAAATACACTCTGGCAATTACCCCAAAGAAATGAAAATGTAGGGTCAGCAAGATAGCTCAGCTGGTAAAAGCACTTGCCACACAAGTTTGACAACTTGAGTTCAATCCCATGGTGGAGGCAGAGACTCCCAAAAGTTGTTATCTGACCTCCATATGCATGCTGTGGCACACTCATGGCCACACACGGTTACATGTGTATACACACACACACACACACACACACACACACCCCCATACCATACACATACATAGTAAGTAAAATTTTTAAAAGAAATGAAAACGTTTGCACAAATGATTATAAATTAATGGTAATAGTTTTACTTGAAACAGCGAAAAAGAAAATACAAGTTAGTCAACAGGTCATTCAAGATGATAATAGAAATTATACAAAGAGCACACAGACACCATAAAATGCTATTCAGCAAGTAAAAAGACCTATTGATAAACATGGTAACAGGTGAATCTCCAAAGGACTACACAAAATTTAAAAGGGCAATCCCCAAAGTTTACATGCCAAATCACTGCCTTCAACAATACTTCTTAAACTACAAAATTCAATAGAGCAGATTAGTGAGTAGCAGGAATCAGGGAGGGAGGTAAGGAGTGAGAAAGAAGCAATTTTTATGAGAAGTTTTATGGTATTTTTGAAAATGATTCAAATATCTACTGGCTAGTGAATGTTTAAAAAAATATGTAAATATCTATAGACTGGAATATTATTCAGCAATAAAAAGAAACAAACTACTGATACATGTTAACAATACAAATTAAATCTCAAATGTTATGCCAAGTAAAAGAAGCTAGATGCAAAAGGTTAAATATTATGATTCTATTCACAGGAAAGGCAAAATTATCAATAACAGAAAGTATGTTGATAGCTAGGCATTGTTACTCATGCTTGTAATCCCAGAACTCAGGAAACTAAACAGAAGGATCACAAAATACCCAGCCAGCCTGGCTATATATTAAAACTCTATCTCAAAAACAAAAGCTGGGTATGGTGGCAAATGCCTTTAATCCCAATAATCAAGAAGCAGAGGCAGGCAGATCTCTGTGAGATCCAGGCCAGCCTGGTCTACATAGGAGTTCTAGGCCAGCTGGGGCTACAGGGAGACCCTGTCTCAAAAACAACAACAAATAATAATAAAGGGCATGAAGTCCACAGTGGTGGTAAGGTACGGGTGGGGAGGGAGAGGAGGGGTCTATGATCAAAATATGTTACAGAAATTCTCGAACCAATAAAAATATTTTTTAATTTATAATTACCTTAATAAGAGCTTTTTTGGTGAGTTTCTGATTAACTTCAGGTTTATTCAGTATGTTCTTTGCTCTGTGAGCATATTCCAATGTACTGAGAGTTTCCTGTCATGAAAAGGAAAGGTTAACTACTGAAGACATGAGGGTAAGATACATCTGTCATCTAAAATGTACTCTATAACTTCTACGTAATAATTTGTATCTATATTTAATCTATGAAATTTGCTTGTTGACTATTATACCCAAGCATTTTCTTTCCTTACGTGTGTGTCTGTGTGTGTGATATATGAATTTATGAGTGCTGGAATCAAAGGTGTGCACCACCACACCCGGCATAAGTTAATTTTTTAAAAAGTCTGAAGCACTTGTAGTAACACACATGCCTGTCAACCAGGCACTCTGAAGGCTAGGCAGGAGGACCATGAGTCTGATGTCAGCCTGAACTACACAGCAAGATCCTATCTCAAAACAAGACAAGTTGGGTGTGGTGGTACATCCCTTTCATCTCAGCACCCAGGAGGCAGAGGCAGGTGGATCTCTGTGAGATTGAGGCCAGCCTGTTCTATATAGCAAATTCTAAGACAGCTGGGGCTACTAGGGGAGACCCTATCTCCAAAAACATAAAAATAAAGGCAAGTATTAAATAACTGGCTTTTTATCCTAGTGGCCCCCCCTAGGACATGTACAATGTCCAGATTCTTCTATACTCTAGTATAGCATGAATGAAACCAGTAAATGAACTTTAAAACTATGTCAGTCAAGACCTACAGCTCCCACAATTTGCCACTTCCTTTCAGAAGGCTTACCTCAAGATTGAGAGATGCAGGAGAGACTGTTGCAATTATAGATGTTCTTGTACGGCCCCCAAGAGAATCTTGCAGGATTCTAGTCAGTTTAGATTCTCGATAAGGAATATGAGGTGTTCTTTCCACAAGAGCAGTAATAACTCTTCCCAAAGTCAGCAGGGACTGGTTAATATTCCCAGCTTCCCGAGCCCTCTTGTCCACAGCCCCAGAACGGCCAATATTTTCACTTCCTGCAAGATCCACCTTTAATTTAAAAAAAAAAGTCAATTATTTTATCTGGATTCAAAGATTTTTTTTTATTTTCTTATTGTATACAATGTACAAATGGCTAGTAAAATAAATTTTCTGCAACAAATTTATTCTCCCTCTTCAAAGCTAATTAATGAAGTGACTAAATATTGTTCATACACTCATCAAAGACGACTCTTTTTGCAACAGATGGAGACTATTGCAGAGTTCCACAACTGCACAAACACAGAGAATAAGTGTCTGTGAGATGCCCAGTCCTAAGTGGCATACCTACAATGGAACCTCTACATCTAACACAGAGGAACAGGGGTAGAGAGAGTATTACTGCATCTCTCAACTCTTACCAGCAAAGCTTCCTCACGCAACAGATGGTGACTAACACAGAAAGAAACAACTGGCCAAAATGTAGAGAATTAGAGACTGCAGAGTGTGTCTCCCTTGATAGGACTCCTTTATTAAACCACTGCCACCCAGGGCTCAGGGACCACTGTGGAAGAGGGGGTGGAAAGACTGTAAGAGCCAGTGGTGGTGGATGACCACAAGGAAAGAGTTTTCCCAGAGGCTGGGAATTTGCTCATATAAACTTACAGCAATGGTGACAGCATGCACAACACTCATGCACTCAAACCAGACAAAAACCCAGCACAGAACTGAGGAAATGGGTCAGGCATGCTAGTGCATGCCTTTAGTCCCAGCACTCAGGAGGCAGAGGCAGGTGGATCTCTGAGTTCAAGGCCAGCCTGGTCTACCTAGTGAGTTCCAGATCAGCTGGGGCTACAAAAAAAAAAAAAAAAAAAAAAAAAAAAAAAAAAAAAGAACTGGGGAAATGGGTAAGAAGCCCCAAACTTAGCCAAGGAAATATCGGCAGCTAATCACTGCTGGGTGAGGGAGAATTGGTCTTCCTTAAGGAAGTGATGCTAGATAGGCTAACCAGGCTCCCAGTGGATGAATTCACATGGAGGGACATCTAGGGCAGAAACTTGACTTGATAGGCCTTACTAAATACACAAAAATTCAGTAAAATACACCGAAATAGAATATATACCATGTATAAGTAAAATTTTCAAGCTTCTCTATGAGGTGCTTAAGAATAATACAATGGCCAGATGTGTGGTGGTACACTCCTTTAATCCCAGCACTTAGGAGGCAGAGACAGGCAGATCTCTATGAGATCAAGGCCAGCCTGGTCTATATAGTGAGTTCCAGGCCAGCTAGAGCTATAGGGAGACCCGTCTCCAAACAATCAAAAGAGAAAAGAAAAAAAAAGAACACAATGGTATTAAGGTAGATGCTTACCAAATTCAACTTTCCAATTTTCACAAGCTCTTCTCCATCAATTGTAGTTTCTTTCATATGTATTGTAACAGCAAAAACTGAGTGCGAACGACTAGAAAACAAGATCAAGTTGTTCATTCATTATAATGTAAACCATTACTTGCTCCCTACAAAATGCTGAAAACAGGAAAGGAAGATCTAAATGCACAAGGGAAAAGAAGGGTATCATTAGAAAACAACAATATAATTTTGGAAGACAAAGTCTTATACCTGCTTCCTACAGTGATGACCTTAATTAAAAAAAAAAAAAAAATACAAAAACTACTCTAGAAGAATTGTTAGGGGTTGAAGATGTAGCTCAATTGTACAGTCTTGTCCAGCATACACAAATTCCTGGGTTCAATCACCAGCAACACACAAAAAGAATTTTCAGGCACCTCTGTAAAGAAGGGTGTCTGGTATGTCAGAGCAGATGGCTCCCAACTGTAACATCACTGCATCTGTTAGTGCACTAATGGCAGAGAATATATGGTAATCTTATTTTCTTTTTTATATTTTTTATAGCATTTTTAAAAATTCACATCACTTTCATTAAAAATATAAATTAAGGCTAGGCATGGTAGCAAACGCCTTCAATCCCACCACTCAGGAGGCAGAGATGGGCAAACCCCTGTGAGACGGGGGTCAGTCTGCTCCACAAAATGAGTTCTAGACCAGTTGGGGCTATAGGGAGACCCTGCCTCAAAAACAAACAAAAAACAACAAAAAAATTTTAAATACAGAAAACGGGAAGGTACAAGGAAAAGCAAACTATAAATCTGAGTTATATTCAGTTTATCTTTTTTGAATCATTACCCACTGATTTCTTATTTAACTTTTTATTTTTTAAATTTTACTTATTATTATAACATGTGTATGCACATATGTGTGTACACATATGATGGGGGGCACATGACATAGAGTGCAGGTCAGAGGACAACTTTATGAAGTTGGTTCTCTACTTCCACATTTTTGTGGGTTCTAAGGATCAAACTCTGATGTCCAGATGGGAGCTGCCAACACTTTCACCCACTGAGATATCTGACTGGCCCTACTCACTGATTTCTAATCCAGGATTATGAGATTAATGTAATTAAACATAGTAGTCAACTGACTTGAGAAAAATGAGTTAATTTTTCTTTTACCACACACATTCAGAAAAAGTGATTTTTATTTAAGTCTATATACAAGAAAAAAAGGTATAGCTGGCATGGTGGTGAAAAGTATTTAAAGAAATGTGTCCCTTTCTCCCCTTACATGAAAGTCACCTGTCTGTCTACATTAAAATAAAATCATTTTAGCCGGGCGTGGTGTACAGGCCTTTAATCCCAGCACTTGGGAGCCAGAGGCGGGCGGATCTTTGTGAGTTCAAGGCCAGCCTGGTCTACATTATGAGTTCCAGGACAGCTGGGGCTACAAGGAGACCCTGTCTCAAAAGAGACAAAAAAAATAAAATAAAATGAAATCATTTTAAAACAAAGATTTAGTCTCGGTTTGTAGCTCAGTGTTTAAAGTACTTGCTTAACATGTGCCCTGGATTTAATCAGAAAAAAAAAAAAAAAAAACACTCCACAAAAAAAAATGAAAAATGGCTAAATACAGTGGCCTATGCCTTTATTCCTAACAGTCTAAAGGCAGAGGTAGGTGTGTCTTTGTGAGATAGAGGACTGCCTGGTGTACATATGAGTTCTAGGCCGGCTGGGAGTACAGAGATGCTGTCTTAAAAAAAAAAAATTAAAAATAAGCAAATGGACTGGAGAGATGGCTCAGTGGTTAAGAGCACTGGCTACTCTTGCAGAGAACCCAGGTTCCATTCACAGCAACCAGAGGATTCAACGCCCTCTTCTGACTTCTGCAAGCATTGCATGACATGTGTTCACTTACATACATGCAGACAATACACTCATACACACAAAATAAAAATTTTATAATAGGCCAGGTGTGGTAGCATACACCTTTAATCCCAGCACTTGGGAGGCAGAGACAAGCAGATGTCTGTGAGTTCAAGGCCAGCCTGGTTTACATAGTGAGTTCCAGGTCAGTTGGGGCTACAGGGAGACCCTGTCTCAAAAAGACAAAAAGAAAAATCTTTTTATAATAATAAAAAAAAGCAAAACAACAACAGAAAAAATCCAGGAAGAGCTGACTTTCTTTTTATTTAAGCCTAGAGCTCTGTCAGTAAGAGCTTCTCAAAGGTGCCTAACAGACCACCCTCAGAAAACAGTTTAGCCTCTGAGCAAATCATTCAAATCAATTTAGAGAAAAAAAATTTTAATCTGGGTTCCCACATAGGATTTCATTTATTCTGTTTGGTTTGGCTTTTGAGACAAGAGAAAGGTTAGGGACAGAAAGTAGATTGTTTTTGAGTTTTTTGTTCTGAGGTAGGGTCTCACTATACAGCCCAAGCTGGCCTAGAACTTGTTACATACCCCAATCTGATCTCCAACTTGTAATCCTCCTTCCTCAGCCTCCCAAGTGCTAGAATTACATGTGTGCATCCATTTGGAAGAGTTCTGTCTAAAAAAATTTAATATTTCTGCACTAATTAACTTACCTCTGCTTTCCTTTCAACAATCTTCTAATACTGGCACTCTCTTTATGAATCTGATGCCAATTACCAAGCCACCACATAAACACCAAGTCTACCACATGATACAATAACATGACCCATCCTGACCTCTTGACCCCAAGTTCCTATTTTTTTTTTTCGGTCTTTTTGAGACAGGGTCTCCCTGTAGCCGCAGCTGTCCTGGAACTCACTATGTAGACCAGGCTGGCTTTGAACTCACAGAGATCCGCCTGCCTCTGCCTCCCAAGTGCAGGAATTAAAGGCGTGCGCCACCACGTCTGGCCCTACTTTTTCTTAAAGTGAAAATGGAGCTAGGGAGATCGTGGCTCTCCTACCTAGAGTATGCGTTCATCAAAGTCGCTGCAGTTCTCCTTTTTGCTGCCCCCTTCTCCAAAATCTGGTAGACTTCATCCTTGTTGTGTACTGTGATTTCCTCCAAACCTTTGATTATCACTCCCCTCTGACCAAGTATCAAAAGAATACCTATTAGATTAGTTTATACTTATAAAGAAAAAAGTACAGACTTCTAAAAGACTTAAAATTTGGAAACATTTCTTTCTCAAAACCCGAGTTACCTTGTTGCGGGGATCATCAAACATCTGCAGCCTCTCAGAAACATCAGTAGATGGACTAAGAAGATCAAAAAGTTCTTCGTTATAGATTTCCAATAGAGACACTTTGACTGAAAATTCGGTACCATTATCAGAAAGTTTCTCAAAAATTTGATGAAGGGTACGTGGAATTATACCAGCCAAAGGATCCTGAAATTGATAAGGATTAAAATAAAGTTAGAATGCCAATTACCGCAACATTAAAATATAACAAGGTCCTCTTTATTTATGTATTTGCAGCACTGAGAATGGATATGTCTCACACATAGTAGGCTAGAGTTGTATCACTTCCCATCTCATCTTTTTTTTTTTTTTTTTTTAATTTTATGTGTATGAGTGTTTTGCCTACGTGTATATCAGTGCACCCATGTCATGCAATGCCCTCAGAGGCTAGAAGAGGGCATTAGATCCTCTGGAACTGAAGTTACAGTTGTTAGCTTCTATGCACGTGGTGGGTATCTTTGGTATATTCTGTGCAACTCTGCAAGGGCAGCCAGGACTCAAAGCCAGTCTAGGTTACACAGTGAAACCTGTCTCAAGAGAAGAAATAAACTACAGTTAGGTATAGTGGAACTTATCTATAATTCCAAATACCCCAGAGACAAGGGCAAAAGAATCTCAAGTCTGAGACCAACCTGGGCACTTTAGGGAGACTGTTGTCTCCAAAAAGATAAAAGGGGTGGGTGGTTGGGACAGATGGCTCAGCAGTTAAGAGTAGTTGCTGTTCTTCCAGGTGACCTAGGTTCACTTCCCAACACCCATATGGTAGTACACAACTGCCTATAATTCCAGTCCTAAGGGATCTGATGCCCTTTTCTGGCCTTCTCAGGCACTAGGCACACGCACATATATACACACAGAAAAAACATTCATACACATAAAAAAAATCTTTAAAAAACAACCAACCCACCCCTACCAAAACCACCTAACAACTATTTACATAGTTATATGAAAGGGGATATGTATATAAAGATATATAGATAGGTATCTTATATGCGAATACTATATCATATGATAAAAAGACTTGAGCATCCTCAGAATTTGTTACATGTGTGTGTCCTGGAATCAACCCTTCTGTGGATACTGAGGGACAGCTATGCCAAGGCAAGTTAAAAACTAAAATCTGGCCGGGCGTGGTGACAGACGCCTTTTAATCCCAGCACTTGGGAGGCAGAGGCAGGCAGATCTCTGTGAGTTCAAGGCCAGCCTGATCTATGTAGTGAGTTCCAGGACAGCTGGGGCTACAAGGAGACCTAAACAAACAAACTAAAATCTAAATAATCTAATGTTAAAGAAGTAAAGTCACTTAAAACAATCTGTGTTACAGTCAACCACAATATGAAAATACTAAATGGAAAATTTCAGAAGTAAATAATTGTTAAGTTTAAATTGTACATAGTTCTGAGTAGCATGTTGAAATAATGCACCATCCTGCCTAGGACATGAATCATCACACAACCTGCTTGTGAGCCACTTGGTAGCACTATTGGTTATCATATCCACTGTTCTGATGTGATAGTCTAAGTATATGAGTAACTCTCATTTCATATAATAATGTCCTCTGCTGGGTATGGTGACTCACATCTATAATCCTAGCACTCTGACCGCTGAGGCAGAAGGATGACTGCAAGTCTCAGGCCAGTCTAAGGTTACAGTATGAAACCTTGTCTTAAATAGCAAGATAATAATAATAATAATAATAATAATTTTTAAATGGTCCCCCAAACTCAATAGCAGTGATTCTGGCAATTTGGATATATTAGAGAAACTGCAAAGTACTTCCTTTAAGGGACAAGGTAAAAATATAAAAATTTGGGAGACAGAGAAAAATCATATTATTAAAATTCTTGTATTTTATTACTAGTTATTATTGGTAAAATCTTGGTTCTAATTTACAAATTAAACTGTATCACAAGTACATACACAAAAAAGACATAGTATATATATTATCTACTATTTTAGGTGTCCTCGCTGGACCTTGGAACATAGGAACATATTCCCACAGGTAAGAAGGAGCAACTGCTCCAGTTGTTCATCCTAAGTAGACCTCCCTTTTCTCAAGTTACTGTGCCATATGTATTGGTCCTATTTCTCCCAATGAGAATGCATGCTTCTTACACAGGAATCATACTACATACTTTAATTTTACTAAAGTAATAGTTTATCCTAAATTCATCACTGACATGGATTCACAGACCATGTACATTTCAAAGCAAAGATGTATACCCAAGTTTTAGCCACATTGGAGACAAAGGATGTTATAAACCATAAATACCTCCTCCCAGGTATATACTTCATTGGGTGATCTTTCACCTTCCATGGTAAAGGTTTTTCCAGTGCCAGTTTGACCATATCTGTCAAGATTTTTTAAAAGTATTAAATCAAAAACAAAAAACCAAAAACAGACATCTTAACTTTCTCATCAACTTGAAAAACTTTTACTTACGCAAAAATGGTACAATTATAACCCATAATAACTTCATCTAGAATAGGACAAACAACACTCCGGTAAACATCAATTTGTTTAGTAGATGCTCCAAAAACCTGTATTTTAAAAAAAGAAAGCTGTTACAACAATTATTAATTTTAATAATTATGCCCAAAAGAATCCATATGATCAAACTTGAGACAACCAAAGTTTATAAGCATACCATTTTCCATGGCAAATACATATATCTAGATTATATTAATGAATGATCAAAAAAGAGGGCATACATACCATATCAAAAGTATATGTTTTCCTTGAGCTCTTGTCAGTCAACCCTGAAGTCCGTATACTGACTTCTTTTCGTGCAGGGTCACATTCTACTACTGAATGGGCGTTAGCTTTCCTCTCTGTCAAATTAAATGGTCTATGAAAAGAAATAGACAAAGTTATTCAAGAATTTTAGCTAGCAGATTAACAACACTTTCATTAACTACATTACTCAAGAAGAATGTGGGGCTGGAGAGATGGCTCAGTGGTTAGCATCTGAGTTCAGTCCCCAGCCACCCATACTGGACAACTCACAATCACCATTAACAGGTTCAGAAAGATCTGATGCCTCTTGGCCTCCAGAGGCAAGTGTATATGCACAAACCCACAATCAGACACACATACATACACATAATTAAAAATAATTTTAAGGGGCTAGAGAAATGGCTCAGCAGTTAAGAGCACTGGCTGCTCTTGCAGGTTTGATTTCCAACACCCACATGGCAGCTAACAATTGCCCCTAACTCCAGTCCCAGGGAAATCCAACAACCTCTTCTGACCTCCAGGGCATTGCACGACACAGGTGCACTTATACACATGCAGGCAATACACTCATATACATAAAATAAAAATAATAAATAATTTTAAAAAGGAGGAAAAGTATAAATGTAAAGCTGTTGACAGAGATTAAATGAAGAGGAAATGATACTCTAAAGTAGACGGAATTATAAACGTCTTGGTTCCCAGAAATAAAATTAGTTTAATTTTCAAAGATAAGCAAAACATTACAATTCTAATCATCTTTTAATTTGTTTTTCAACTTTTTTTCCCCTGGAGGAGTCATGGGTGGGAGTGGGGGTGGGGGAAACAGGTCTTATGTAGTAGCCCAGGCAGGCCTCAAACTCACAAAGCAGTATTGCTGGCCTTGAACTTCTAATTTTCCTGCCTTTAACTCCTAAGTACTGAATGAGATTATAGGTATGTGCCACTAGGCCCAGTTGATAAGGTACTAGGGATCAAACTCAAGGTTTCATGCATGCTAGATAAGCACCCCACCAACTGAGCTACATCCCCAGCCCCAATTCCTTTTTTTTTGGGTTGGGGGGGGGACCACGAGACAGGGTCTTCCCTGTAGCCCCAGCTGGCCTGAACTCCTTATGTAGACCAGGATGGCGTTCATCTCAGAGATCCACCTACCTCTGCCTCCCAAGTACTGGGATTAAAGGTTGTACTACCACAGATGGCCCCAGACCCAATTTTAAAAGTATTTTAGAAAAGATGCTAACATAATTTAAGATGCAAAAGAACCTAACTTACTTTTTCAGAATTCTATTTCCACCACTCTTTTTATTTTTGTTTTATTTATGTGTATGTATGTGGTAACGTGTGCAGGAGCCCAGTGAAGCCAGAAGACAGTATCAAATTCCCTGGAACTAGAATTACATGTGGATGTGAGCCACTCAACATCAGGTGCTGGAAACCAAACTCTGGTCCTCTGGAAGAGCAGCAAGCAATCTTAGCACTGAACCATTTCTCCAGCCATATTTCCACCACATTTTTTTTTTGAAACAGAGCTCACTATGTAGCCCTGGAACTCTCTATGTAGACCAGTCTGGCCTAGATTTCAAAGAGATTAACCTGTCTCTGCCTTCTGAGTGCTGAGATTATAAGGATATACCACCACATCTGGCTTTTTCCACAACTCTTAAAATGTGATTGTTAGGTCATAACATAGCAGAAAAAACATCAAATTTGTATGCAGAATATTAACCTTCCAGTGGTTATCTGGCACAAAATAGAAAACAACAACAACAACTAAAAATGACTAAGGGGGCTGGAGAGATGGCTCAGGAGTTAAGAGCACTGGCTGTTCTTACAGAGTACCTGGGTTCAAATCCCAGCACTCACATGGAGGCTAACAATCATCCATGACCCCAAGGGATCCTATATCCTCCTCTCTCTTCCTCAGGCACTACACAACACAGGTGCACTTACATGCATGCAGGTATAACATACATATAGAATAAAAATAAATAAATAAAACAAATTAAAAAATAATAATAATGACTTAGAGTCAGGTATGGGGGCACAAAACTTTAGTCCAAGCACTTGGGAGGCAGAGGTAAGCAGATATCCATGAAACTGAGGCCAGCCTGGTCTACACAGCAAGTACCAGCCCAGCTGGGGCTACAGAGAGATCCTGTCTCAAAAAAAAAAAAAAGATCTGGCTTTCGTAGGCTAAGGCTGAGATCCTAGCAGACAGCCTGAGAGGGTGGGTTCAGACCTCCATCAGTGTAGCAGCTCTAATCTCAGTAGACCTCCAGAGAGTGCCAAGTTCTGGCCTCCCTTGGGCAGAGGGCCTGAGAACGCAGGGGACTAGATGAGAGGCCCCGGATCCTGCCTCCATGTGGTAAAGCCTTTGAGAGGGACCTGACACTGATTCTAACCACTCCAACAGCTATCAAAATATCTGAAAGCAAATCCTGAACCCATCACTCTAAAGTCCAGCCTTGGAAGACAAAAGAAAAATGAGGAGGAACCCAATAGAGGGATGCAGGAGTAAGATCCCTAAAACTCACTATGAATGTGGCAGCCACATGCAATTCCAGCACTCAAAGGCAAAGTCAGGTACTCCCTGGGGCAGACTGGCTAGCTAAACTATCTGGAATTGGCAAGCTCCAGGTTCAGTGAAGAGATCCTGCCTCAATAAATTGGAGAGCAATCTAGCAAGACACCCAAAGTCAACTTCAGGCCTCCAAATGCACTAACATGTGCATACACACCTGCACACATGTGAACACACATATATACACATACATGCATATACAGAGATAAAGTAGAAAATGGGGAAAAAACAATGAAACCAAGTTTCTTCAAAAAGATCAATAAATTGACAAACCTTTATTAGACGACTAAAAAAAAGAGAAAGCTTAAGTTACTAAAATTAGAAGTGAAAATGGTGTTACTACTGATTGTACAAAAAAAAAGGATTAAAGAGTTCTATGAACAACTGTACACCAAAAAATTGTTACTGATTGTTACTGTTACCTAGATGAACAAATTCCTAGAAATACCAAACTTAAAACTTACCAAGACCAAATGGGGGGGGGGATATCTCCTGACAAATTAAAAGTCCCAGGAGCAGCAGCTGGCCCAAGGTTCAAGTGCCAACACACAGCTCTTTGCCTGTGCTCAATTCACCCTATAGTGAGAGTGGCAGATCAAGGCTTATGTCCCCTCATGGAAAGGCATCACTCCAGAGATCAAGTTGTGCTCCTAGCAAGCACATCACTGGAAGATGAGGTTACCCTAGGCCAGTGTGGGGCAGTCCCAACCACTCTGAAAGTAGCCACACAAAAACAGGGAGTAAAATCCATGGTTCTCTGTCTAGAAAAATGAGAGGTTGAACTCCCGAGGTAGTTAACAGCAAGGCCAAATTAGGCAGTAGCTGAGATAATACCTGAGACTTTGTCAAAATTGTGATGTTTGGCAAGAGTCCCAAACTCAATTCCCAAATCCTATGTAGTCCTGGCTTTCTCTAATAAAGCCACTTTGCCCCAGTATGGGAGAAGCGAGGGAGGTGAAGGAGTGAGGGAAGAAGAGGGTGGGGGGTGGCTCCTGGACTTGATAGATTCAAAGTGAATTCTACCAAATAGTTCAGAAACTAGTAGAATTTTTAAGCCCTTGGGGGGTGGCTGAAGAGGGGAGTGAATAGCTCATTCATTATGAAACTAGGTAGCATTATCATATTAAATCCACACAAAGACACAAGAAAAGTAAAGATCATTCACTATCCCTAATGAATTCAAAACTGCAGGGCCATCCAAGGTGGCACATCAATTCAATTAATTCCTAGCACCCATACTGGACAGCTCACAACCACCTGTGACTCCAGTTCCAAGGGATCTGACAATCTCTTCCAGCTTCTGAGGGCATCAGCACATACGACATATAAAAAACGATAAAAATAGCCGGGTGTGGTGGCACACACCTTTTATCCCAGCACTTGGGAGACAGAGGCAGGTAGTTCTCTGTGAGTTCAAGGCCAGCCTGGTCTACATAGTGAGTATAGTGAGTTCCAGGATAGCTTGGGCTACAGGGAGACCCTGTCTCAAAAAGACCAAAAAAAAAAAGAAGAAGGTAGAAATATTTTTGAAAATTTAAACAACTTTATTCATGTATACTGAAACTTGAATTTCATTTAACTTAACACACAATACAAAATATTTTTCTTGGGCTATTTTAAAACATTCTAAAATATAGAACGCACTTACACTCTGCAGACTATACAAACAAGCAGCACACCTTCAGGCTGGTTTGTTGGGCCACAGTTTCAATATCATATGATTAAAAATAAATCTTGGGGACTGGAGAGATGGCTGAACAGTTAAGAGCACTGGCTGTTCTTACAGAGAACCTGGGTTTGTTCCCAGCATCCACATGGTGGCTAACAACCCACCCTGTAACTCCCATACCAGGGGCTCTGGTGCCCTCTGCTGGCCTATAAAGGCAATG